AAAAAAAAAAAAAAAAAAAAAAAAGATCTGTTCACAGTCTATATTATTGTATGTAATGTATACCTCAGTTTTAAAACAGTAACAGCATATGAGGCTCAGTCAACAATTTCCAGGATACTAGATTGAGGCAGTGTTAACCATTGAGTTGATACTGAGTGAAGAACTAATTGGGCAATGTATAAATATATAAATTTCTAATCTCATCAAGATCTAAGAAATCAAGATCTTTTTCCTTGGTGGGATATGCATACATTATTCAAGTCTGAGAAATATACCTCTAAGTCAGCAGTTCTCAACCTTCCTAATGCCGCGATCCCTTAATACAGTTCCTCATGTTGTGGTGACCCCCCAACCATAAAATTATTTTCGTTGCTACTCTATAACTGTCATTTTGCTACTGTTATGAATTGTAAATATCTTTTTGTTTTCTGATGGTCTTAAGTGACCCCTGTGAAAGGGTCGTTCCACCCCCAAAGGTGTTGCGACCCACAGGTTGAGAACCGCTGCTCTAAGTGATTATGATACCCCAAGGGCAAGAAAAAAGTTTTGTTTCTTCTTTTTTATGGCCTTCCCTCTTTTTGTAAACTACCCTCTGCTTTGGCCATCCCAGCAGTTCCCATTTCTGTGACTGTGACACCCACATGAATGGCCTTGACCCAAGCTATAGTTTCTCCATTCCAAATTCCTAAAAGGAATCTTTACCTGTATGTTTCTCTTAGCATATGAAACTCAGAGGTCTAAGAAACCAAAAGTAAATTTCATATTAATCAATCATCTTGTTCCCCACACCTGATCTTCCTCTTAACCTCCCAGGTTGGTGTGAAAGATACTATTGGATAGTCGGAAAAGTCATGACATATTTTTTTTATGTTTTCTATGCAAAAATGCGTCATGACTTTTCCAAGACCCAATATTATACAAATTAACTCAGCTAGACTCAAATATGCATATAGAAATCTATGAAGAAGACCCAATATTATACAAATTAACTCAGCTAGACTCAAATATGCATATGGAAATCTATGAGCATCACTAATCTTTCATTTTGCAATGTCTAGTCTACTGTTACTCCCATCGAGAGTACTTTTTTCACCTCATGGTGTAGTTTTTATCTTTACAAGTTAGATTTGGATTTTTTTTTGTTTTTAATGTTGCATGTCTTCTCTATAATTTTGGCATATATGGAATAACTGTTTAGACGTCCTCTGCTAATTCTAAGCTCTGTTTAGTTCTGGGTTGATTGTTTTCTTCGTTACGGGTGATGTTTCCTGCTTCTCTGTATGTCTGGTAATCTTTCAACTGGATGTTAGAAACTGTGAAATGTAAATGTTGGAGTGCTCGATGTTTTTATAATCCTATAAATATTCTTGAGCTTTGACCTGGGATGTAATTAAGTATCTTAGAAACAATTTGATAATTTTGGGTCTTCCTTTTAAGATTTGTTAGGTGGGACCAAGCAGTGCTCACTATAGGACTAATTACAAGCATACCTCAGCAATATTGTGGGTTCGGTTCCAGACCACCATAATAAAGCAAATATTGCAATAAAGCAAGTCAAACAATTTTTTTGGCTTCCCAGTGCATAGAAGAGTTATGTTTACACTGTACTCCAGTCTATTAAGTGTGTCATAGCATTGTGTGTAAAAAAAAAGTACATACCTTAATTAAAAAATATTTTATTGCTGAAAATTGCTAGCCATCATCTGAGGTTTCAGCAAGTCATAATCTTTTTGGTGCCCACAGACTTGCTTGACATGGGGCTGCCACAAACCTTCAATTTATAAAAAAAAATACAACATCTGCAAAGTGCAATAAAGTGCAACAAAAGGAAGCACGTATTCCCCAATACTGAGGCTAAACCTTTCTGTATATCCTATTCGATGCCCTATAAATCATGAGGTTTTCCAGCTTGGCTGGTGGAAACAGGCAGTATTTCTAGCCTTGTCTGAGCTTTGAGTATTGTTACTTCTAATTTGGGGGGTGGTTCTTTCCCAGGCTTCAGGTAGTTTCCTCATTTGCATAAGTAGTGAATACTCCAGGGACCCTATATATATCTCCAGAGTTCTGTGTGTGTGCAAGTTTTTCCTTTCTTGTACTCTGTCCTGCAAATTCTAGCCACGTTGGACTCCCCAGATCTCAGCTCTGTCTTTTCAATTCAGGTAGCTAGGTTGACGCTGCCTGAGTTCCCTTCACTACATCATTGTTTGGAGATTCTCTCAAGGCTGTAAAATAGGGATCAATTGTAGGACTCACCTTGAATTTTCCCCTCTCTCAGAGACTGCTGTCTTTGTCTTACATCTAACAGCTTGAAAATCATTCTTTTGTGTATCTTGTCTAGTTTTTTCATAGTTTTAGGTGTGTGTGCGCGTGTGTGTTTAGGGTAGGAGGAGGAGCAATAAGTCCAATCCCTGTAACTCCATCTTGACTAAAAGCAGAAGTCTTGAACTATTTCGTTTTATTACACAAGTTTCTTAATTTCTACATTTCCTCTGAACTTAATTCAAATAATGATATTTAAGAATTCGTCTGTGTATTAAGATCCAATAAAATAATTTATTATGAAAAGCTATTCTGATTCTAATAGTCTCTGTTGGTCCATCAATGGTAAAATATTATTAAAAAGGCGGCTTATAACATACTGTGTAAATCAGACATTTTAGATGGATAATCACCATTCTTAAATAGTATACTACTGTTTGTAATTCTAGTGACAAGGTGGGGAGGGGAGGGCAGAGACAATAACTACATCTTAAATAGAAGCATTAATGTAACTTCACATAATACAAGTTGAACAATTGGGTTAATGACTTCATGTGTCGTTTTTATTTCATATTACAGAAATACTAATCAAACACCCAGTAGTCAGGCCAATGCCAAGGAATATAAGAAAAATTCTCTAAAGAGGTTAAGGGCAGAGTTTCTCAGATTTTTAGTGTATCTAAGAGTTAACTGAGGAATTTGTTTAAAATGCAGATTTTTTGTGACAAAGCCCAGGTTTTAATTTAGTAGGACTGGGATGGAGTCTAGGAATCTGCAAATTACTGACCAACTCAGTGACTCTGATACGAGATAAAGAGGTTACTGTGGAATTAAGCCTGCCCTCACTTCTTACTTGAACTGGATAAATGGATGATGTGTAGGACAAAATGGACATTATTAGGAGAATCAAAGTAGAGGAGAGAGCAAGCCAAGGTGTTTTATCTTAGCTTAACAGGTTCAGATTAGAAAAGCCCTTCAGTTTCAACCTACAAAGCCTGGGACTAGAATCTTGAAACCACCTAAGGTTTCAGAATAGGGGGGTGAGTGACTTTAAAAAGAATGCTGATTTGATAGGATGAGTTGTAAAGCTGGAAAGCCAGGTAGAAAGTTTAGAATGAGGTGATAAAAATGAACATCGAGGAGGCAGTACTGAAACAGAAAATAAAATGTCGGAAGACATTGGTAGAAATGGTGAATTCAGATACCTAAGGATAGGAAGTTCATATTAAATACATTTTAAAAAATTCATTACAAACATAACGATAACAACAGCAACAACAACACTAAAACTAATAAGAATAAAAGAATCTTCAACAGTTTTTCAGATGTTTACTTGCATAATTCTTGAAACTCCACAGGAGCTCAATAGCAGTTTGTGTTGCCTGGAAGGATTATTAAAAAAAGGTATCATTAGTGTTAATAGTATTAACAGTATTCTAAATTAAGACGAATTCATCAGTCATTATAAGCTAAAAACAAGCATCTCCTATCGCCTGTAAGGCAGATGAAGCAATGTTTGCGTTCTGTAGAACAATTTTATTTATATTTCTTCGTTCCCTATTTCAACCAGTTTTGATTTCCTGTCAACAATACAAAGATTCACACAGTCAGGAAAGAGAACATCTACTTTTCCAAAACTACCAATTAGACATTTAGGTTAAAATGCTAAAGGTCTGTTAGAGAGAATAATTCTGGTGCAGAGCGGGTAGGAGCAAAAAAATCAGACCAGGCTTCAAGATGGAGTCTGAACGGGGCTGGAAGGATGGGTGGGATCTGGACATATGGAAAACAGAGAGTTTCAAGGATGAAAGAAAGGGCATTTTACACAAAAATCTCGGAAAGCATTTCTGTCAGAAACTTTCAACAAATTTTCACAGTTCATAAAAACAGACAACTTACTAAATATCATAAAAGCCAATCCGAAGGAAGGTGACACTTTTATACATTTGTTTATTACTTACCTTCTTTTAATGGAGTTTTGGGAGCAAAATTTTCTTTACTTTCATGAAGAAAAGCCTTTGAAGGATCAAAGTGTTTGATACCCAGCACATGATTCAATTCCTCCTGAAGTTTTCTCTCACTTTGTTTTGTCTTAGAAAGCTGAGAGCGGAGTTTTGACACCTCCTATGCCAGAAAGCCATAGACAATGAACAATTACTTAAGATCATGTTGCTGAAATGTGTTATCAGTACTATGGACAAATTCTAAACATGCTCAGCTAGCACACCAAATGGCAAAAAAATCACTGCCAGATACAGGCTTTAAGACAATGAATGACAAAATGACTCGGAACAGAGGTGACAAAGGAGGTAACGAGTCATTTAAATCTTCTGGCCCCTCCAGGTACAAGCTATGTTTCTGGTAAAAGTTCATCTCTACCTTAAATGCCGAGATCAGCTTCCAGCATGACAGACAGCATGAGGAGCTCCGCTGACCTGCTTCCTAGTGAAACTAAAAATCAGAACACGGCAACCATTTAAAGCCTCCAAAACTGATGCTGAGGCAAAATCGCCAATGAGGAAACATCGATTCAAGCAAATCTATAAAGATGTGGTAAGAGAGGCAGAAGTCTGTGGTATCTGAACCAAGCCTGCTCCCTCTCGCCCCGCTCCCAGCTACAGGAAGTGGAAACTCCCCACCAAACTTCTGCAGCGGGGGACACAGGGCTCCCTCTTTGCCCAGCAGCCTGTCAGAGATGTTTTCTGTCAGGAAGAGCAGGACATCGGCATTTCTCATCTGGCCCTCCGCACCTGTGAGAACATGGTTGAGAAGTAGAGGAGCCTTTCTCCTGGGGAACAGAGGCTTGACCGTGGGTGCAGGGTGGTGACAATGCTCAGACCCTGATGATCCCTGCCCTGGCTCCTCAAGTGATGGTTCCACGCCAGGTGGGGCCAGCTGAGAGAACCTCAGGGTGCTCCCCACCCCCTCTCCCCCAAGTCCATGAAGCACTCAGGTCCTAGGGCAGAGGTGTCACTCAGAGAAAAGTTTGCCATCGTCCCCAGCTCCAGTTCCAGAGCCCTGCCTCAGACTGTACCTGCAGGTAAAAACAGGCTGTAAAACACATAGCTCCTCATTTCTTCCCAAAGGCACTAACTTCATTTCAACAGCACTGGGAGGAGCTCACGCCCAAGAGAAGAGCGCTCTAAGTAATGATACAAGGGAATTGGAGGTGGTTCAAAATACAGCTAACCTGTAGGTCGTGGAGTTTGTAGGAGAGCGCTGGAGAATAAGACAGCTGGGAGGAGCCCTTCCAGAGTCAGAACAAAATCAACCACTGACCTCACCCACAATTCCAACACAAGAGCCGTAATTTGACTGAATTTGTTTATACAGCAATGTATGCTCCCAGGCGTTGTCGCAAACAATAGAACAATAAGCAACAAGTCATGCAGCAGCTAATGGAGTTTAACATGTGGTCAGTGAAAGAGAGGAAGACAGCCCTACCCAAACCAGTGTCATCCCAGGGGGGCTGCAGACATACCTAACACTGAGCCTCCCCAAGCAGCAGCACCAGAGGCACAATACTACCGGGGGTAGAGAGGAGAAAAAGACTTTACCAACACAATGAAGCCACTTAGGAAACAAATAACAAGAGAATAACAGCACACCTGGAAGGAGTGGGCAACGCCCAGAGATGCTACAGTATATGATCTATATGGGTATATGAAAATACCCATTTTCCAAGGTGTGCAAATAAACAAGAAAGCATGACCTACACATTGGGAAAAAGCGGGGTGTGGGGGGGCGGAGACTGCTTGTGAGAGTAATCAGATATTGGATTTATCCAAAAAATATTTTAAAGTAGCCATTATAAATATGTTCACAGAGCTAAAGGGGAGAAAAAAAAAGAAAGAAAAGGTAGAAGGCTTAAATTAGAATCAGAAATGAAGATGGGACAGTACTACTGATTTTACCAAAATAAGGATTATAAAGAAATGCTACGAATAATTGTATACAACAAACCAGATAAAGTAAATGAAATGGACAAATTCTAGAAAGACACAAACTACTGAAAATGTCAAGAAGAAATAGTTAATTTGAATAGACTTACAAGAAGTGAAGATATTTATTAGTAATCAAAAAACACCCACAAAGAAAAGCCCCGGTCAGGATGGCACAACGCATTCAATGAAGAATTAATAGCAATTATTCACAAACTATTCTAAAAAACAGAAAGGACAAAACCTTTTCCAACTCATTTTATTAGGTCAATATTACCGAAACCAAACAGAGATATTACATGAACCTACAGGCCAGTACCTGTTGGGAATACAGATCTAAAAATCCCCAGCAAATACTAGCAAAACAGATCCAGCAACATATAAATTCAATTATATACCATGACCAAGAGAAATTTATCAGGAATGCAATGTTGCTTTAATATCCAAAAATCAATTAATGTAAGAAATAACATCAATAGAATTTAAAAACAGCAACAACCAAAAAAAATGATCACCTTAATAGAAATAGAAAAGGCATTTGACAAAATTTAATCCCTTTTCATGATAAAAACACTTAAAAAACTAGGAATAGAAGGAAACTTCCTCCACTTGCTAAAGGCAAAATCATGCTTAATTATGAAAGTCTGAATGCTTTCCCCCAAATTAAGAACAGAACAAGGATGTCTCACTCACACCACCTCTGTTCAACATTGTACTGAAGGTTGTAGCCAGGGAACTTAGGCAAGAAAAAGAAATAAAAAACATTTAGATTAGAAAAGAAGTAAAACAATCTCTATGTACAGGTGATCTTGTATACGAAAAATGCTAAGGAAACCACTAAAAAATTATTACAACTAATAACTTCAGTAAGGTTGCAGAATAGATCAATATACAAAAAATCAACAGTATTTCTATACACTAGCAATGAACCATCCAAAAATAAAGAAAAATATTTCCTTTACAATAGCATCCAAAGGATAAAATACTTAAGAATAAATTTAACAAAAGATGTGCAAAACATACTGAAAACTATACCACGCTGTTGAAAGAAAAGTGAAGATCTAAATAATTGGAAAAAACATCCCATGTTTATAGATCAGAAGACTTAACATACTTAAGATGGGAATATGCCCCAAACTGATACACAGGTTCAACCTCATTCCCATCAGAATCTCAGGTGACTTCTTTGTGGAAATTAAAAAGCTGATTCTAGAATTCATATGGAATTGCAAGGGGCCCCGAAGAGCTAAAACAATCTTGAAAAAGAACGAAGTAGGATGACTCATGCTTCCTGGTTTCAAAACATGAAACAAAGCAAGAGTAACCAAGATAGTGTGGTAGCACAAGGATAGGTATATAAGTCAACAGAACACATTGAAGAGTCTAGAAATAAACCCTTACATATATGGTCAACTGATTTTCAACAAAGATACCAAGATCATTCACTGGGGTAAAGAACAGGCAGTTCAACAAATGGTGGGGGGACAACTAGGTACCCACATGTTAAAGAATGAACCTTACCTCACATTGTAAACAAAAATTAACTCAAAATGCATCAATGGCTAAATGTGAGAGCTAAAACCATAAAATTCTTGGAGGAAACACACGGGTAAATCTTCATGACATTGGATTTGGCAAAGAGTTGTGAGACACCAAAGAACAAGCAACAAAGGAAAATCGGATACATTAGACTTAATCAAATTTTGTGCTTCAAAGAACATCATTCTGAAAGTGAAACGACAATGTACAGAATGGGTGAAAATATTTTCAACTAATACCTCTGATAAGGGACCAGTATACAGAATATATAAAGAACTCGCACAACTCATTAAAAACAAATTATCCAATTAAAAAATGGGTGAAAGATCTCAACAGACATTTCTACCAGGAAGATAACAAATGTTCAATAATCATGTGAGCAGACGTTCAACATTAGTCATTTGAGAAATGCAAGTCAAAGCCACAGTTAGGTATCATTTCACATCCACTAGGATGGCTAGACTCAAAAAGACAGACACCAAGTGTTGGTAAAGATGTAGAGAAGTTGGAACCCGCGTACATTGCTGCTGGAAGGTAGATGATATACAGCTGCTTTGTAAAACAGTCCAACAGTTCCTCAAATGATTAGACAGTAACCACATGACCCAGCAATTTCACTCCTAGATATAAGCCCGAAGCAACAAAAACATATATCCAGACAAAAACTTGCACATGTTTATGGTAGTCCAAAGGTGGAAACAACCCAAATGCCCATCAACTAACAAATGAATAAGTAAAATGTGACTCATCCACATAATATTATTAGATCTTAGAAGAACTAAGTACTGATACATGCCACAACACCGATGAACCTTGAAGACATTATGCTAATTGAAAGAAGCCAGTTACAAAAGACTACATATTATTATTTGATTTTACAAATAAGAAATGTCCACAATGGGGACATTTATAAAGGCAGAAAGTAGATTATTGGTGGGAAGAGAGGATGAGGAGATAGGGAAATGATAGCTAAAGGGTAAGGGGCTTTGAGATGATAAAAAATGTTCCAAAATTGATTATGGTGATGGTTTGCATCTATCTGTGAATATACTAAAAATCATTGAGTTGTTCACTTTAAATGGGTAAATTGTACGGTGTGTGAAACATACCTCCATAAAGCTGTTAGAAACTTTAAATGCCTATTTTTGGACACTGCTTATCTTTATGGTATTTATTTATATCAAGGACTATGCTAGTTTGCTAATAGAAATGGATGCAAATAGAAATGGATGTTTAAAGTTTTATGAATTTTTCCAATCACACTAGTAATTTTCAATCTACTGAGGTATTTGGAAAACCTGAGAATATTAATAACTCACTTAATTCTCAGATGGATTTTTTCCTTTATAAACTGTTACTTTTTTCTAATACAAAAGACTGCCATTTTAAATGATATAAATAGTTGGAATAAAAAATACCCCACCCCAATATCTTCAATAGAACTATTACTTTACAAACCGATTTGAGTTGGCTGTTTTCATCTTTCAATTTCACAACATGCTTTATTTTCTGCTTTAGATTCTGATGACCCAATAATTTGGCATACGAATCTCTTAGTTTATTTAGCTGTTCCTGAGCTGCACCATGTTCATTCAACAAAGCTTGTTTCTCTGCTTCAAATGCATCCAGTTGTAGCTGAAAAATATTTTTTTATACAAAGTTAAGACCTAAAGCTGTTAAATCTTGCCTATATCAACTATAAAGAAAACAAAAGTAAAAGAAAATGGAAAAACGAACAAAAACAGGTTATCCTGAAACATTCTCAGGGCTCTCTATAAATTCTCTCTGAGGCTCTCTTAAAAACCTTTCTGTTTTTCATTTCAAAGATCATAAAAACAGGGAAAGAAAGAAGGATAAAAGGCCAGCTGGCCAGCCTAGTATGCCAACTGGGCCACCATATTATAACCAATACTGTCCCCTTACTCAAGTGCCAAGATTAGCAATTATCTTTTCTCTTTTAAGATCAGGGTACTGTATTAATATGACATACACTTGAAAGATCATAACAAAATAATTACAACAAATGGACATAGATTGTCAAAAAGCTTTCTAAGCTATTAACTTTAAGTCTCTTATTAGAAGATATTTTTAGCCTATAAAGGCAATATTAAAACTGTACACATAATAATTTAATAAAATTTGTAAGTCTTCTTCAAGAAGAAGTTAAATTGGCACTGTAAATACACCACAAAACGCTCTTTTACAAAAATCAAGTTATTGTCATGATTGTGACGGGACAAAGTGAATTCCTAAAAGAAACACAAGTAAGTTTAGTCCTAATTGACAAACCTGAAAAGGTTTTGTTTTGTTATATAGCTCTTCATAAAGGAGTTGCCACTTGTTCGTTTCCTCTGTTAAGTCTGCCTCTGAGTTTTCCTTTGCAGCTTTTCTGTAAGGGCAAATTAAAAGAAAAGACACAGTGTTTTAGAATAAATGACTGAGGTATGTGGCACTCAGGTTCTAAGCCTAGATTACCTTGCTTCTTCCTCTTCCAGTTGTTTCTTAAAGTCTTCACCTTGTTGCTTGAGTTGGTTCTCCAAATCAGTTATTTTTTTAAGAGAGGAAACTGAGATTTCTTTAATTTCTGCTTCTTTAAGTGCTGATTTGGTCTGCAGATCTAGAAGCATCCTTGGGTTTGAGAGAGAAGAATCCACTAAACATTTGACAGCCATTTTAATTATTATTTATTTTTTTAAACTTAAGACTTCTTCAAGAATTGTACTTTTTTAACTTAACCGAGTAAATTCTTAATTTGCAATTTAAGATCACCCAAAGCAAGCCACGGAACTACAATTCCCAGCGTCCCTTAGTAGTTGGCTTTCAACAACATTAAGCTGCCATTACGGTTCTAAGGCCACGAGTTTGGGCAGGTTTTATTTCCACTGCATACCTTGCGTATTCTTGATTTGAGCTCTCAGTTGCCAGTATCTGATGTTGAACATCCTCTATATTTTTCTCAGCCTTGGCCACTTTTTCCTTAAGTGTTAAGTTCTCCAGCTTTAGATCTTCTATTTCACTAGCTGTTAATGCTTTATAGCTTATTAAAAACAAAAAAAAGTTAAAAGATTTTTCTAACTATTGTATGCATGACAAATACACAGCTGATGAATTTGTACTTTGTTACCTTTTCAGTAAAACAAACAAAACCTTAGTATCTATTTATACATTTTATATGGCATATGCTGCTCATTCAAAGAAAAAAAGAATCAAGTGCCTACTATGTGCAGGAAGTATGCATACAGAAATAAAGAAAAAAAAAACAAAAAAACCAACAACTACTGAACATGAAAATTATGCTGAAACAAAAAATTCTACAATCTTCTGAATTTACTGTCACAGAGTTTATGGTCTTGAAGGGAAGATAGGGAAATGCCTGTCTAGGTTTTTGCAAAAAAATTGGAAAAACAAGTATAAAATTAAATTTCTGGTGTTATGAAGAAAAACTATAGATCGCCTTAAGCTGATGGAACAGGCGACCCTACATTTTGGTTGGTTATTCAGAAAAGGCCTTTCTGAGGAATTCATAATGAAAAGCTGAGACATGATGGATAAGGAGGATTTAGCTAGGCAGTCAGAGGAAAGTATTTCAGAGGGAGCAGGTGCACACAGGCTCAGAGGGATGTAGAACACAGTGCATTAAGAGACGAGGCTGGAGCAGAAGCTAGATACGCAAGAGGCCAGCCATCACCGTGGGGCGGAATGGGTTTACCTGAGGTCTCTAAGTAAGTGTGTGGACTACTCCGAAGGTAAGCGGAGAATGGATTGGGAAAGGGGCAGGAGAGCAAATCTGGAAAATTAACTAGAGGGCCAATTATTTATCAGTCCAGGTGAGTGGTAAAGAAGGCTTGGACTAAGGAGTTGGCAATGGAAAGACATGAGATCTTTTTTTGAGGCAGAATTTTAAAATACCAGAAACAGAGTGGATGTTGGGAGAAAGAGAGAGGATATAATTAAAGATGACTATAAGATGTATGGAATGAGAAGCTGGAAAGATGTTATTATTTTTTTTTTTAGCTGAGCCATCCTGCCACCTGTTGGCAGATCAACGGCTAATCAGCTCGGGCCGGGACTCAAACTGCTGTTGCTCAGAGCTCGAACTCTTGAGTGAGCTCTTAACCAACTGAGCCACTCAGCCGGCCTTGGGAAGATGTTATTGACTGGGATAAAAAAAAGAATGAGACTAGAGATAGAAAGAGATAGATCAAGAGTTGTTTTAGATAGATTAATACCAGGTGATATTGAGATATCTACTTTGAGACGTCAAGTAGGCAGCTGGATATATGGGCACAGAGCTGAAAGGAGAGGTGAGGGTTGAAGAAATAAATTTTAATTCTATTAGCATATTGATGGTGAATGAAGTCATAGAATGGCTAAAAACCTCCGAAGGCACTATTTTTCAAAGTAGCAAGAAGGGAAATCCCTTTACAGGGTTGACAGCATCACTAAAAATTATATATGTATGTATATATAATGTGTATAATTTATATTTATGCTCTGACATATAAAAATTATAATATATACATATAAATAGTGTGTGTGTGTGTGTGTGTGTGTGTGTGTGTGTGTGTGTGTGTGTATGTTACAATATATCACATATAAGAACAGGCCACTGGGGAAACAAGGTACTACTCAACAAATAGGCACTAGGCAATTGATTATCCACATGGAAAAACAAAAATAAATTTGATCCTATATCACTACACACACAGAAATCAGTTCTAGGTGAAAAAGTGAAACGTCAAACTTTGAAACTTTTAGAACAAAACTAGAAGAATATCTTTATGTTCTTGGGCTAGAAAGAAGTTCTTTAATGAGATGCAAAAGTGTTCACATAAAGATCTATAAATTTAACTACATTAAAATAAAAGGTAAATTCCTATATATATGACTACCATGTAACACTAAATGCCCATTTGTGGTTGGTCATTATGGAATTTAAAGCGATACCAATAATTTTATTTGTGTGATTGATTTGTTCACAATTTTCCCTAGGAAGACACCCATCCCTGCTTTTACTATGCTTAGAGTGCAGTCTCCCAATAAAAATACCTTTCAAATCGAGCAGTAATGTCTCCAAGATTTTGCACCGTGCTATTATACCTTTCCTGCAAAAGCAGGGTGGCCTGTGTGTGAGCAGCATCACTTTCCTGGAGTTCAGCTTCTTTCCTAAGAAAAAGGAACAATTAAAAGATAAGCTGCTAACTACACATCATTACCCTAAGACAGAGATGAGTACTGTACTCGCTTCTGACGCTGTCTACATGAATGGCCTACACCTGAGAGCATGCTTATTTATGTACGGCTTCATCTGATCTTCCCTGCTCTTATTTTACTTTTGTATTCATCCTTATTTACCTATTTCTAAACTTATCTTTTCGTATCATATGTATTTATGTAGGTAGTCTGAACCTTTTTTTTTTTTTTTGGAAGAAAATAGGATAAAAAGACTCCAATGGAATCTTAACAGCAGCAGCCAAGACTAAAGAATGTGAAGGCTCACCAGTTAAACGCACTTGGACTGAATAAAGTTTCATTCTCTGCATGCAGACATTTAAGAAATATGAAGTTTTAGTTAAGGACAGTTCATTTTAAAAGTTCTTTTGAAAAAGTGTTACAGGACTATGTAAATTTATTTTGATTATGTCAACAACTCACATAAATTGTTATTCAGCTTCAACAACTTATTTAGCAGATAATTTTGCATAGACAGAATGGCTTTTAAGTCATCTTTATAAATATATACTACAAGTCTCAAGATTAAAAAATAGCATATATTACCAAAATGGTGATATATATTTTTAGATAAGCATATGCGCTTCTAAGACATCCTTTAAAGAACATTGAGAACTAAAAACTATAAAGCATTATTCACCTACAAACTAAGTTTGACCCTGAGACAAGATGAACAGCTGGTCAAATTCATTCTGTAATGAATATAGGATTTAAAAAATATACATATCACAGCTAAAAGCAATCAAATAGTACTAAAGGGTTTATAATAATAATATTCTCTCCCCTACCCTCTAGGGGAATCACTTTCAACTCTTAGTTTTTCTTTTAAGCATAAAATTCCCAGGCTGGAAGGGACCATAGAAAGTATCTCATAAAACTCCTTTATATCTAATGAAACAGGGAATTAAAGGTTAAGATTGTTTTGCTCATAATCACACAGCTAGTTAATAGACCTAGAAGTAAAATCCTTATCTTCTGACCTTTGGATCCAGTTCTTTGAGTTAGAATAAATGACTGTTTCAACTTTCTTTCTGAAACTGATATCATTTACTCTGTTTCTTAGAGTGCCTGTTCCCTGAGATTGACTGCAGTATAGAGCAATACCCCTAATTACACTTCGGTACTGCACTCAAAAAACAGGCATATATAAACCCTCGTTGTTCTTTTTCATTATCACTAATCACTAAAAGAAAGCCGAAAAGAGATTAATAAAAAAAAATATCCAACAAGAGATGGATATACAGTTCTGAGATATATCTCATGTCTAGTCCATGGTTCCTTGCTAGACAATTGTTTAGTGATAAAATTCCCAGGATTCAAACAATATAATTATTCTATTTGCAATTTGAGCCTAATAACCAACCTAGGTATTTTAATTGAAGAAAAAGTGGTGGAGGACACATAACGTGATGAAAACAATATGGAACTAGAGTTTAAAAAAAGCATGAGATCTCAGTCTTTCTACTTTTAATGATAAATTCCTTATCTTTGAATGTGTCCCAGTTCTGGTTCTGTTTTCCTATTTTGCTTTTTGATTGTTACTTCTGAAGTACTTGTGGTGCTCCCTCAGAAAAGGTAATTAAAGACATAACTTATACTATGTACACTGATGTACATATAGAGAAAAAACAGAAATGTATCTTATAAAAGGGTGACATTTTTAGTTTTGGGTACTTTTCTAAATCTGTTATCGTTGTAATGCTAATTTCCAGTAATTTCTAGAAAACATAACAGTAGTTATAGGAACCAAAAATTTTGGTCATTTTAAAATTAAAAGTCACTTTAATTAAACCTTTTAAATAAAGAAAGGGCATGGTTTCTGACTATCATACTTTGGCTGTCATACTTTTTTGTATGTCCATCCTAACATGTTTTCCTGAAAATAAGACCTAGCTGGAGAAGAAGCCCTAGCATGATTCCTCCAGGATGTGGAGGGCACGCACCCCTCACATGAGGGTTTTATGACCTGTTTCAGGGAGAAGGGTGCCTTTTCCACAAACTCCTTCAGCTTAAAATATTCAGTATGCCAAGGTGCCATATTTTGGCGCCTAAAATCATGCTACAGCTTATTTTCTGGCTAGGTCTTATTTTCAAGGAAACAGGGTATGCACGTACTTTTCCTCCCTGTGTCTATTCCTTACTTGTAAAATAATTAAAACCTCACCCACTTGCATGATTGATGTGAGAATCCTGAGAGAATGTACTAGAAAATACTTTGTAACATCTGAAGTCATATGTAAACATGAGGTCCTGTTAATACAAACCCTTTCAGTTTTCCTTCTAGAAGTTTCAGTTCTTCAGCCCTAGCTTTTGTTTCCTCTTCCAGTTGCTTGACCAGATTTTCAGTTTGTTCCTCCTTTTCCTGTAATTTGTCTAGCTCATCCAGAGCTTGTTTTAATTCTTCCTCAAAGAGACTCTTCTCTTTCATCATTTCCTCGTGAAAAGAACATAGCTTCTGCTGAAGACGAGACGATAGTTCCTACATCCAAATAGAAAAACCATCAAAATAATTTAAAAGGTTTTAATAATTTAATTGAATTTAATAATCCGTGCAGCTTTATTAAGCACAGAAAATAAATACAGATAACAAAGTATGAACACTAAATTCAAGAGCCTCAAGGAAATTTGAAAAAATATAAAAATATACGTATACCGTTTTGTTGGGATTATATCTTATGTCTTGTCTTACTTGTGATAAATATTTCAAGCTTTTTTTCTATGCAACACACACACACACACACACACACACATTCTTGTAAAACTAAAATTATACTCTACACGGACTTTTATATTTTTCTCGTATATTATATAAAAAGTACTATGATTTCAATGTTATATAAAAGATTTTAAAGTTACATGAATAATTGCCAATAAGTAAATAAACACAAGTATATCACCACTGTAAAAAAAATCTAACATTATAGAGAAAGTGGAAATCGCCTCTGACCACTCCCCATCCCAATCTTAGTTTTCCTCTTCCAGAGACAACCACTAGTTTGGTCCATATATATCTTATGGTCCTTTCCTATATATTTATATATTTTTAAAAATACAAATGATCTATACTATATATGCAAATGTCATTTTAAAAACCATAAAAATAGTTGTTGAGATCTTTTCAAGTCAGTATTCATAGATCTACTTAATCCCTTTCGTTGTTGCAGACTGTTCGACAATATACTATCTCACTTCAGCACATGTGAATACCTGCTTGCCCAACTCTCAACACTGGGGTTTTAGCAAATGTTTAAATTTGTGCCAACCTCATAAGTGAAAAAGTATGTCCATTTCTTTGATGGCTACTAAGGCAGAGCATCTATTAATGTTTACAGGCTATCTGACTTTCTGCTTTTAAGAATTTTCTATTTCCATCCTATGCCGGTATTTTTTTATTTTTTTTTTAGTGGACTGTCTTTTTTCTCACTGATGTGTAAAATGTTCTTTATGTAATCTGGATTTTAAAAAATTATCAGTTTTGGGCGGCCGAGTGGCGTGATGGTTAAGAACTGGCTTGGGACGCCAGAGGGCCCCGGTTCGGATCCCACATATGAGGGCCAGTGACACTGCCCTCCACAGCTAAGATGCTGAACAACAGCTCAACCTGGAGCTGGGATGCCGTGAGTCGCAGGCGACAGCGTAGGCTGCAGCCCTTGCTGCAGTGGGTTGCCATGGGCTACCGTATGTAGCCAGCAGCCTCCGTGAGCGGCCGTCCAGAAGCCGGCGACTGATCTGCCTCGCCCGGGAAGAGCGCAATGATGGTGCCAACTTGGGCCAGTGAAGCAACGTCCTCCACAACTAGACTGAAGAACAAAACGACAGCAACCTGTCTGTTCCCCTTCCCCCAGTTCCCCAGCACTGTTTCCATCCCCCCAGTTCCCCAATAAAAAATCTTAAAAAAAAAATTTATCAGCTTTGTTTCTTGTGTAATTACACACTCTTCTACAACTTAACTATAAATGCGTATGTAGTAATCTAATACAAGAATGTGCTGAAAAAGGTTTTTAAACTATTTCCTTATTTTGCTTCCTGTTGCTTGTAATTTTTTCACATGATCAATAACCCTAGGGTGAACATCTTTGTAGTTAATCTGCAGCGCAGCCATGATTATTCCCGAAGGATAAGCTTCTAAAAACAGAACTGTTGGATCAAAGGACGTATACAATTTAAAGGTTTTCTGATCACGGTAAATGTATGACATAAAATAAGTACTAGTTTTATTTTAAATGATAGTAAAGTACCTTCTCTTGTTGCAGAAGTAAATCAATTTGCAACTCTTTTTGTTGTAGCTTCTCGTGTTCTTGTTTTTCAAGAATAAACTTCTGTTGTATGTTTTGTATTTCAGAATTTAGATTTTCATCCCGTTCTCTACCCCTGTTGATGAGGTCTTCTATAAAAGGAAAACATGAAAAATGCTGTAATTAGATCCCAATATTAAGTTTTAAGAACCCAGATTCCCATAATTTCATTATAGATATTGCTGTTAGCATGTTAACAGAGATCAAGTATCTCCAAAGGAAAAAAAAACAACTCTGAAGTTTGTATCATTAATATATTATATATAATAACAACCCCCCAAGCCTGGTTTTATGTTTTTAGCAATTTTAAATGGTCACAAAACAGGGATTAACGAACAGCACAGTTGTGCATATTTTAATCAAGACAAGCAATATATTAAAATAAACAGAACAAGCATTATAAAAGACAAAAATTCTCACATACAGAAAAAGATTAGTTGTTGTTTATATAATTACTTTAAAAAGTTGTTTTCACATAGCAGTGCTTTTCTTAAATATTGTATGTAGTACTTATCTAAGGAAATTAATACTGTCAACACTAGGATACCTTTTTCTTTTTCAAGCAGCTGACATTTAGCACTCAGATCTTCTACTTGTTTAGATAACATAACAACATCTTCCTCAAGGGACTGCTTCAGATTTAAAACTTCATGATTCTTCTCTTTCAAATTTTCTTCCAACTGGGCAATATCTAGCTTGTATTTTTCCACTTGATCTGCTGTACAGCTGCATTAAAACAAATTATTTTGAAGAGCACATCTATTTAAGCATAGGGAAAATTAACTGAAAAGAGATGAAAATGGTGTATTCATGACACTTCAACAAATTAAGGTCCAATAGCAAACTGCTATTCTTATTACCTTATTTCTTCGATGTATTCTAAGAGTTTTTCTGTTTCAGACTTTTCATCAACCTTTTCTTTCTCTACTGAAACACTGAAAAGAAGTTGCATATATTAATACATACACTAATCACACATAATGCTCACTCTATACCAGATACTTGTTTCAGGCAGGCTGACTCGAATCCAACTCTTCACCATTCATTTATGTGACCTCTCAAGTTTAGAATTTAATGTATGCAAATAGGACATTCAAGTTTTTTCTAAGTGAGAAAGCTTTCCAAATATACTCTGATAAAAGGACCGTGATGACAAAAGTCATCATCAACAACATTCCAAGTGTTAGAAATAACCATTTTTTTTAGCTTTCCCAGTTTCCCTACCCAGCACACATACAAAATAGCATTTCGTGTGCCCTAAAGACTTGTTCCAGGCTGCCTTATATTCAATTACTTACATGCTTACCTCCTGCAAACACCTCAGTTTTAGAAATGGGCAAGAGATTTAAACAGACACCTTACAAAAGGATACATATGAATTGTCAATAAGCACATAAAAAAACCCTCAACATTAATAATGAAACATTAAAATCCCAAATGAGCTACTACTTCACACTTACTGGAAAGGCTGAAATCAGACTGACAATATCAAAGGTCGGTGAGGCGATGGAAGAACTGGGACTATCACACACTGCTATGTAGGTGTGTGAAATGGTACATCCACTCTGAGTTTTTGAAAATGTTCCATATACTACCCTATAACCTAGGAATTCCACCCCCAGATATTTACTCAAGAGAAATAAAAACATGTCCACAAAAAAAAGCATACTTAGCAGTCTTATTTATAATAGCCAGAAACTAGAAACCCAAATATTAATCAAAAGAGAAGAGTAAATAAATGAGGTACATTCATATAGCAGACTACTACTCAGAAATTAAAAGGAACAAATTATAATACACACAACAGTATGGATGAATCTCAAAGAATTATGTTCAACAAAAGAAGACACACACGCATACGCAAATACACACATGCTGTGATAAATGTTCTCCCAAAAGCCAAACTAATTCATGATGATGGACGTCAGAAAGTGCTTGTGGGGTGAGGGGTGTTACATGGGTTGGAGCAGGAAGAGGCACAGAGGAACTTTCTGAGGGGAGGGCAATGGTCTCTATCATGCTAGGGTGGTGGTTATACAGGTATTCACAATTGTCAAGTCACCAAAAACATAGTGATCTGTGTGTTTTACTGTATGTAAATTACAGCTCAGCGATAAAAAGAAGGCTAGCATTGTGCATTAATCACAGCCTCCTATACCACTGTTTCTCAGTTTTGGTGAATTTTATCACCGCCATGAGGTTATACTATTAGAAAGATGACGAGGCCTTTCTTCGTCATTGGTACAGAAGATGTACAAAAGTAGTAACATTCATCCATTTTTTTCAGCATGAATTGTTTGGGAATGATTAGGTCTCAACTATCACTTCCGAAAAGAAAATAGGGTGATTAGCGGAAGGCAATGATAGGTATTGAGGGAAGATTAAAGTCTCAGTAAACAATAGCGAGGTGACAGAGGTAAACCAAGAACTAATTACACGTAATATTTTCTCTTTCCTTTGAGTCACTCACAGTTTCCCCTGCAGTTGTGCTATTTTCCCCTGAGACTCTTCCAGATTCTTCTGGGTGACCTGTAATTTCACGTCCATGCCTTGCTGTTTGGCCATGATACTCTACACAACAGAAATGTGTTTCAGGAAATTAAAAAATTGTTCAGATTCACAGGCCCAGACACAGCAAACTTAGCAAACGTTTTCATCACTCACCCTCACCTTAGTTTCTCTTCTGTTTCTAAGTTTCATCAACTCAAGGCTTAGAATTCTCATATTCTTCTGGTTACCATCTTCAGAAAACTAAGTACGACACGCAAAAGATTCATAAATGTTTGCTGCTAAGTCATATATAAAATCACCTAACTATTGATTATTCTACCAATTACTGGGACTACTACTTGCCTATAATATACTCTGGTAGAGAAAAAGGCCTTTGACCAACACCAGGATTACTTGATTTTATACCACTATTGTTTTTGTCTCTCCTTTTCCTTAAGGTGACTTTCTGGTTTATTTCTGAAAGTAACCTGGGTGGTCACTTACCTCTATATGCTGAAAAGTACATCACGAAGCTCTAAAATACAGCTTCCTGGAGAGGATTTTGTAAAGGGTGTTTCCTTAACAAAATGCATCTGGATTGCCTGGTAGACTTTGAAATATGCAGACTACAAGGTTTACCCCAGGCCAACTAAATCAGATCATCCTGGGTGGGGCCCAGGAATCTGCCCCTTTTCTCATGCTGGATTCTTCTGCAGCCTCACTCGCTCACGCCCTGTGTAAGCAAAGGGCCCAGCACATTACAGGCCCTGAACCAACGCCTCTTATTAAACTGAACAGTGGTTTACAGCCTCATTCTACTTCTGTAAAAAGCAGTGACCACGTTACGTACTTTAAGATCTGTTAGAATATTAACATCAATAAACACAATTTATTGAACACATTTAGTCCACAAAGTTTTTCATTTCCCACTTCATTCCCCAAAGGATTGGAGATGGAAACCTGCTATTATTTATTTCAGAGAAAGATCTTGAAAGTGACTTCTAGGTGCAAATTCTGCAACTTTGATTCATGGCCTTCCGGATGCGGGTTACTTTGAAGGAGGGTGAGGAAACGTCAGGCATTGAAACAAAACCTAGCTTGTTTGTTTATAACTCCTTATGTGCCAGGCACCATGATAAAAAAGATACAATCATAGTTCCTATTGGAAGCAGCTTACTATTTAAGGTACGTTTAGGGTAGGGAAAGGACTAACCTGGAGCCTAAAATTCCCAAACAACTGGTCTGTGAGAAAAAAACATGTTTATTATTTATTCAAGCGTAAGTATTATCACGAGGCTCAAATACCTTAGATTTTAGTAGCTCATTAGCCCTGGATAATTCAGCAAGCTGTTTTTCCAGAGTAGCATTACTTGCAGAGAGAGACGTTTTTTCCCTGACTGCCGCACTTAGCTTTGCTTCCATCTTCTCCACCTCAGCTTCCAGATCCTGGATCCGCTTGTCCTGAGCGCCACGTTCCTGCACAAGGACACGGATCTGGATGGAAACAAGGTGACAAATGAATGATTCACTGAGTCAATGCCCAGTAACTACCTGCTACTGATAATTAAAACATTCAAGTTCTAGAAAAACCTCTGATTGTGACATGATGCTCTTAGATATTCTAATTTCACTAGCTGTTTAACAATCATACTTACTTTTCAATACATCTTAAAAATCTGTGAGCATTTTAAGGACACAGGATTTTAATTGCCATAAGCTTCCTGGTGTAATTAAACTCTTCATTCACTTTTAAGGTCTTTCTACCTATAAGAGCTCTTATTTTTCTCTAGTTCTATATATATAAAATCAAATTACAGTTTCAAAGGCTAAATATCTTTTTTTATTTTAAAGAGGCAGAAGAATTCTTAGTAGGATGCAGTTGGCATCAGCAAACCGTCATTTCTGCTGCAATTACTAGATTACAACCAAACCCCAAATCAAAACCACACAATTTGTCAACAGAAAATGGGGAAGCCAGAATACAATGAAACGGCATGTTTAAAATGTAGGAGGGAAAAACCTGCCCATCTAAAGTTCTATTCACAATGAAAATATCCTTCGAATATGAAGGTGACATACAGATGCTTTCCGAGAAAACAAAGCTGAGAGAACTTGGCAATAATAGGCCAGCATAATAAGAAACGCTGAAGAAGTTTTCAGGTTGAAGGAGAACAATCCCAGATGTTTCTGAGATGGGCACTTTAAATGTAAGGCCACAGACAAGTTCACAAGAAAGTGATCAGAGAGGATTTGTCATGTAAATACTCAACAAAAGAAAGCTCTGTGACTCTCATACGAAGTACATTTTAAGGCAAAAAGTATTACTAGGGATAAAGAGGAAATTTTATGATCAAAAGGTCATTTCAAGAGGAAGACATGATCTTAAATTTGTCATGTACCTAATATCATAACTTCAAAATATAAAAAGTAGACAGAATTAAAAAGAGCAATAGACTAATTCACAGAGCTGAAAATTTAAAAGTACCTCACTTAGGAACTAATAGATTAAGCAGACAAAAATATCAGTGCAGATAAAGATTTGAAGAAAACTGTTAGACCAATTCGAACCAATTGACATATATAGACCACTATACTCAACAAGTGCATATACATTTTTTTCTAATGCACATAAAACATTTACCAAGATAGACTGTTTACTGGATATGAAAGTATCAAGAAGGTATAGCTGTATTAAGTAACATGAAAAGTATTTTTTATTCCTGCTGGTTTTGTATTCTCATCTCAGTATTTTAAGCCTATGTTGCTTAACTAAGAACATATCAAGCACCACTTATGTGTATAGCTGTGAACTAGATGCTAGGGACTGAATGAGCTTTCAGATCCCACGCCACAGATTCTCTATGCTTATCCTATTGCTATAACCAGTGTTTATGGCACAGTGCTACACAGTAGGAGAAAGAACATTGAGATTATCTACCTCTCACTTTTTGCAGTTAAAAAAGCTTAAGCTCCAAAGGAGGGTTTGTACCCTCCAATGCAGACTTGGCCAACCAGATACTATGAATAAGCAAAGTGAGTGAGGACTAGAGAGCGAATGTGAGGCCTTGAGGAGGCGGCCCTGCATAGCCCTGGCAGGCTGTTACCCTGCAGGGAAATGTGGAAACAGCGTTGTCAGAGCTGATTTGGCAGCAAGAAGTTAAAAGTCTGAATTTGTTTTGCATAGAATTTTACATTTAAATATTCATAATTCAAGTTAAAAAACAACAATAACAAATACTGCGGGCCTTAAATAAAGTAGAGCTCTATTTGTCAAAAAAAATCTCTATTCTAAAAGATTAAGTAACTGATGCAATTTACCACTTCTAATCCTGGCACTGCCACTCAGCAGCTCTCTGAGATTCAGTTATTACATCTCTAAGCATGGGTCCCTACGCCACAGCCATGTGTGCCCAATAAAATGATAGACAATATTACTTTTTTTTAAAATGCAAAAAGGATCAGATGCAAGGTAGAGATTTGCAGTTACCTTGACATATTTTTGGTCCTACACCAATATTCAACTGTAATCAATCGAAAGTTTTAATATATCGGAAAAATATGTCCACCGTAAAGAGTTGGTAGTAGAAATATGGAAAAAAGACTGCCAGAAAAGGAAAGCTGGCAGTGACCAGCTGAGCCCTGCTTAGGGAAGGAAGTGGGTTCTTGAGGCCAGCTCTACTCAATGGGAATTTTTGCCATGGTGGAAAAGCACCGTCCAATATGGGAGCTTCTCGCCACATAGGGCTTTTAAGCACTTGAACTATGATTAGTGCAACTGAAAAACTGTGTTAATTTTATTTAATTTAAATAGTTACATGTGGTTAGTAGCTACTATATATGACAGTGTAGCTCTAGGTCACTTTATCCTTGAGGAAGGCATATATCGCTGGTGCAGAAGAATGCATCAGGTTAGCATAATTCCATCACAGTCCAACTAACCGGCTAGATTGCATGCTCACTAAGCATTCTCTAGCTAGCCATTGTCTTCCATATAGAGTAACACATAAATGTAAATGCTTGATCTTCACATAATTGTAGTTAAACAGCATACTGATTTTCAGTTATATATATATATTTTTTTTCGCCATGAAGTGGGTTATCTTGAATCTGTCCCTCAACATGCTAACAACTTGACTGTGCCAGCACATCACACGGACATCCAGGCTCTAAAATATGGCATTGAAGCCAAGAAACGATTACCCTATAGGCACCGGTCTGCATGGTCTATGTGCCTCACTGTGTATGTCCTCCAATGTCAACAGAATCCCTTCTCTTAACTGTACACAACTCTTCCCATTACAGAGCGCATGTATTTGCCAGTAAGTTGAAGGCATGGCTTACCTCTTTTTCCAGTATCTTCAAATCTTTATCATTCTTTTGAGATTCCTTCTATTTAAAAGTCAAAGAACAGTGATAATCAACTTTAAGTGCCACAAATATCATGGCCAAATTTGATTTTTAGTTATCAGAAACAATTAAGGGTTCCAAACAGTTAATTTTAAACATTTTCCTGAGTCTATTAAACATGTTATAAGTGACTTGTCAGGTGAATGAAGGAAAGGTTCTTTAAATCTCAAAATATTTCAGGTTTAAAAGTTTTCATCCCAATAGATTAGTTTTTTTTCTAACAAGTCCAGTGAAAAGTAAAACTACTGACAGTCTCTTCCTAATGTTAAGCAGCAATACATTTTGAATATTTAACTATGCTGTCTCACAAAGAAAAGAATATTATAAAGAGAAAACAACTTAAACTTAAGATACCCAAAGAGGGGGAGAAATGCAAAAAAATAAAGAAATGAAATAGCAGAAGCTCAGATTTTAATCTACTCATTGCCTTTATTCTAAATAAGAAATAATTCTCACACCATATCTTCATATATCCAACAGCCGTTTTGAGACAATAACCAAAAACAGAATATCTACCTTTTCCATCTAAAAATGGAAGAATATGCATAAACATCTTGAATGAAATCTGTTTTATATGTTTCTAAATTGGGGAGGTGGGTACACTAGTCTCATGTTTATTAATTTACCACCTGATGGCATTTTCAATCAACGAAGGCCTATTATTTTGGGCTTCACACAAACTTCAAACTTGTATGTAACTTGGTTTTCTAAGAGGGCTTATGAATTCTACAACTAATTCAAAGTGTCAGAACTGTTTCTGCAAGAAACTTAAGTCAAGAAATTTAAATCAGTTTCTAAGAGTGTCTATATTAGTCTTACCCAATAAAAATATAATGCAAGGTATGTTTTCAAATTTTCTAGTAGACGCATTAAAAAAATAAAAATTTTCATAATATATTTTACTTAACCCAAAATATCAAAAATATTATTTCAACATGTCGTTAGTATAATTAGTGACATATTTTATATTTTTTGTTCTAAGTCTTCAAGATTTGCTGTGTATTTTACACTCATAGCACATCTCAATTCAGATGCTAAATTTTCATCAGAAATTATCTATCTGTACTTAGATTTCCTAAAATATATAGATGAAAAAATAGACTCACATACCCAAGTTGTTTTGAAAACATTTAAGAGTTTTCCAACAGCAGAATCAAGTATCAGTTTTTAAATATACATTAATTAAAATTAAATGATATTAAAAGTTTAGTTCTTCGCTTTCAAGTGCTCAATGGCCACATGGGGCTGGTTATTCACTTCCTTATTGAACTACATTGCTCTGTCTTACAGAACAAGAGACTTAGCTGCAATTGCCAAATGAATGACTAGGTCTAAGATTAACCTTTGGCTTTGGTTTCTCAACTCTAAAAATGTCATCCCCCACCACTCTTTGGCAGCTTCTGACTAGTAAACATCTTTTAGGTATTAGGATGTTTTGGTTATTTTTTTTTTCTTTTTTCTTTTTCTTTACCAGTACTTACCTTTCCCCACAAACAAAAAACAAAATAACCCAAATGATGGTAACTAACGAATCTAAGCATCATATATATATATATATTTTTTTTTTTAGCTGAGCCATCATGCTACCTGTTGGCAGCTCAGCGGCTGCTCAGCTCGGGCTGGACCTGAACCGCTGTTGCTCAGAGCTCAAACTCCTGAGCGAGCTCTTAACCAACTGAGCCACTCGGCCGGCCGCATCATATAATTTTTAAAGGCTTCCTAGGTATTATAGAATTTATCTAGGTGTAGAAATGCTTGAGGAATGGATTTCCGAAGTAAGGGCACATTTAAGCACAATATATTTAGTAATGATGTAGCTTACTCAAGTCCTATTGATAATATGTTTCATTAATTTACAGATTTACTCATAACCTTAATTTGTACACTTAACTCATTCTAGTCAAATACAATGCCTTTCAGCAATATTTCCAATGATTCAGTTCATAAACCAGTAGAATATAAGGGCTCCTCACCTTTAATCCCAAAGCCTTAACTTTTCTTGCTGAAGCAGGTAAAGTAGCATCTTTGTCAACAGTAAGATTTTGTTCCAATTCTGCAACAAGTTGAATCACAGACAAAACACAATTTCAAAATTCTTATTGCAACTATTAGTGAAGCCATTTAAAGTTATGCTTTTCTTGATTGTACATTTCCAAATAATGAGTTGCACAATATTTTTTACACATTTAACACTTTTCTGATTTTCCTAATATTCCTAATGACAGAAGGTTAAGGTAATTATCAAAAAAGAAACTACAAGGGGCCGGCCTAGTGGCTCAGTTGGTTAAGAGCTAGCGCAAGAGTGCGAGCTCTGAGCAACAGCGGTTCGATGCCCAGCCCGAGCTGAGTTGCTGCTGAGCTGCCAACAGGTAGCAGGATGGCTCAGCTGAAAAAAAACAAAAAAACAAAACAACAGAAAAAAAAAAACAAAGAAACTACATATCTATGTGAGTGTCTTGCTTAATTCTCCTGGCGATAACAACAGGGTAATGATGAAAGCATTACTCTGTAGTTGAACCTTTTATAAATGCATCAAATACAAAAAATTAAATATTGCTGTAGCTTCGCATTTTTAGAAATGCTATAGCATTTCGTAATTTATATGCTGTTATTCATAACTTTCAAACTTACAAGATCATATAGCCATTATTTTATGTGGGGACCCATTACCTTTTTGTTTTTGAAATCTTTGTGATTTCTGAAAGGATACTGGTCCTTTCAATACTTCTGAAGTTTTAACATCATAAGCAGCTGGAGATGGTGCACAACCTAGAGGAAACATAAAACATTAACATCTCATCTAATGTTATTTACGATGTGAAATTAAAAACATGCCATAGTAAAGTGAGTAATGTAAATAGGCCATCAATAAATTGTTTGTTTTTTCAATGTAAAAAATAGCACCCATGTGATAATATAAAGTAGGCCTCTCTATGGGGAACAATATCGTTATCTTCCAAAATGCCCTTTATTTCAACTGGGTCAAAGAAACATAGGCAACTGAGTAAAACAGCAAAGATAGTCTTAGGATGAGCATCATATAAGAACAAGCGACATGGCTTTCTCATTAAGGATTGAACATAAGAAAATATTTGGAATCACCTCTACTCAGAGTCACTCCCGTCACTCCCATAAGATTCTAGAAAAGAAGCAACTAAAAATGTCTGGCCCTCAAGATTTAGCCTGGAATGAAAATGTATAGTGATAATCCATCTCTGGCTAAATCAATACATCAGAAAATTTATAAAGCCATAGCCTATATTTCCATGCTCCAGAAATTTATACTGTATAACCTCACATATGTAACTAGGGTCCCAAACTGAAGGCATTTCAGGATGCTTATGGATAGCAGATGTGAGATCTGGCTCTCAACGCTGACAATAATGTCATTAGCATAAAGCTTTCACTGATTTGGAATCAAGATTTATACAATTCTCTGAAAGGCTATTTTCTTCAGAGTTTCAGGCAAATAAATAGGAACAGCAAAGAGTATGACCATTCCAAGGCAACTCCTACTACCCCCAAAGTGTTTTTCAAATGGGATGATAAAGGCTCATTAGTATACCTTGACTAGTACTTAAAAAAAAAAAAGTGAAACAACAGGAAATACCAGTGTGACTCACATGTAGCAAAGTTAAACACTGTTTTGTGGTACTTTCTAGTTTATGTGTAGAAATATAAATATATATCCCACACGGAGATAAACAAGTTACTTCTCAGCCTGGGACACAATGAAATCATTGCTTTCTAGTCTAAGCAGACCATCAAGGATGGAATTAAGTTCCCATTCCTCCATCTAGAACAATAATCATTTATATATACTGACACAAAGAATCCAATCCTGGGTGCTTTCAAATCCAAATGTGGTCAACAAGGGGTACAGATGGTGGGTTTCCAATTAAGAGAGAATCTTAAACTGAAGTGTAAAATTACCCGAGGGATCTGAGGTAGAGGCGGACTTAGCAAAAAGCATTAATCTTGGCTCGCTCAGATATCGCCACACCATGCAACTGGCTAATGTCATGGGGTGAACAGCAGAGTGTCGGGGGGTTTCCCTAACATCAGGTTAAGGGTGGCACATCTTAGAGCATCTATTTTACTGATTTGGGATAGGGGTGGGGAGCATATTATATTTTAAAGCAAACACCAGACTTCAAAGAAAACTGTCACCACTACTGTAGGCTATGCCTTTTTGGGGACGTGGGGTGAGGGGATGATTCATCTCCTTTGCTCTCTGTTTTTAGGGACACTTCTCTGGAAAAGCGTGAGAAGCACTGCTCTAGGCTTGGCAAAGCAGCCAGAAAAAAAGTGATGTTGAATCCTAGAATTCTAGTTCATCATTAGGCTACACTCCCAAAAGGGGATAAGGGTCAGCGAGAGATGGGATGGTGGACAGTAACTAAGCCGAATCAAGCAAGTTGAGAACAGTAAAAACCATGATTAAAAACTGCGCGTAAGACTCCAGAGTCAAATTTGATAGTTATAGGTATTTAGATTCAAGAAGAACTAGGCTGAAATCCCTACCACCTGTTTGTGAGACTGGGGCATGTGCCATTTTCATGCTTTAGGTCTTTTCCTTACTAACAGCTAAAAATACTACATCATAGATATGACTTGTTAGAAATCTGGGGACAGGCAACATCAGACAATAGAATCGGGATAACTTGGGAGATATCACAAGCTTTCTGCAGCAACTTATGTCTTGATCAGCAATGATCAGGAGCTAACACAAGCAGGCAATGCTTGTATGCAAACAAAACATTTTTTGCATTACATTAAATGCTTCAACCTTCCAGACCTTTTTATTTTCTATTTCTTCCACCTAAAACAGATAGTCCACCTTCCATTTTGCCTGGCTAACTCTCACTTATCCTTCAGACCTCAGGCTGATGTCACCTCTTCCAATTTTCTCTGAATCCCAAATCAGATTAGAACCCCAACTCCATAGAAGTCTGTGCATAGCATTCCTATCATAGAACTCACAGTTTTTGTATGGCTTATAATAATGTATTTATTTGCTTCCCACATTAGACAAAACTGCTTGAAGGCAGGGACTGTCTTATTCATGACTATACCCCTAGTATTTAGCTTAAGGTTGAGGTTAGCAGGGTGGTGAAGAAAACACTGAAAGTTTTGGGGGACGTGGCAATGGGAATAGGGTTTTGTAATCAGCCAATCAGAAAACTTCACCTGCCAATCAATAGACGTTACTATGTGCCGGGTACTGTGTAGTGTTAGTGAGAAGATAGTGAATAAGAATATCATACTCTCTCCTTTTCCAGTCTAGCTTTCAGACACCTAGAAAGTTACTTCTATTTGAGGCTGATTTTTCTTTCATGAAACAGGAATGAAAAGTAGTATCTACTTCGTAGTATGGTTGTTAGGGTTATTGGAGTAATATGAAAAATCACTAGACACACACACACACACACACAGAGCATCAAATAAATGGTAACTGCTATTATTCCTGAAACTGTAAGCCTGAAATATTGTGTAAACGGTAAAGGCAGTTTACTATAAAGCAAAAGATTTTTAAAAAATTCTGTTTAAAAGCCACACTGCTGACAGAACTTAGAGTAGGTTCTGAATTTCTGGGAAATAATATGGTTCTTGAGTCTTAATTTGGAAAATAAGCTTGTGCTGATTCACTTTCTCACGTGGCTTTCCCTTGGGAGAAGAGCGGTGCACACATCTATGTGCATGTTGTCTGACAAATTCAAGATGTAATCAGTGCCCATTAAATTGCTTTATTACAATGGATAAATCATGGGCTTTGTGTTCAGCTCTACCACTTATAGGCTGCTTCACACAGTTACAAAACCCTTCAGTTTCCTCTCCTGTAAAATAAGGACGATATCAGTACCTTCCTCATCTGGCTGTTGGAAAAAAGCAAGCAGATCTAGTAGGAAAAACCTTAGCACAGCCCCTGCATGCAGTCAGCACCTACTAAATGATGAGCGCCTTACCCACCACAGCCACGGCTTGCTGTTTATTGTGCTTATGCCCTGCAGTGGCTAAGAGCACAGGATGGGTTCCTGGAGGCCTGGTTTCAGGCTCCAGTCTTGCCAGTTTGGTTGTGTGACATTGAGGAAATCCTAGTCTCAGTCTTTTCAATCAATAAAATATTGAATAATAGAATTACCTCTCAGGGATGCTGGCGAATTAAAAAAGACTTCATAATCTATTTAAAGGTGGACTGGGATGCCTAGGGTATACCGTAATAGTAGCTGTCATTGCTTCATTTAGTGTTTTCAATACGTGCTACTGCCATGATCTTACACCTATAAACTGCCTGTACCGATCTTCCTTCTTTATGCCCGAAGGAACATCCAAAAAGAAATTCACCAATTCAGACAGAAAGCACTGGTCAAGTGTTTTTCATCACGGAGGCCTTCTGTACGTGACCATCAACTAGGTGGCAATGCCTTCTCATCCCCATTCCTTCTGTCCGCTTTAGTTTCTACACAGCTCTATGGGCTGTATTCTCCAACTGAATGACAGTCCTTGGGGCAGGGACTTGGTTTCGCTCGCTGCTGTATGCTTACCATTTTAGATAGTGCTTGGCATGTAGTAAATGCTTACTTAGTATGTATTTCCTAAGACTGGTTCAATTGAACAGCCCCATCCCAGCCCTAAAATCGCTTCCTATTTGCCTTTGACAACGGAAACCGAGAGGGGCAAGAGGCGTGACAGCAACTCCCGACCCCAGTTTCTTTCCCCGTACGCACCAGAAGGGTCATTGAATCGTTTCAGGGGCGCCTTAGGAAAGGACATGCTGACCACCAGCTCCACAAACCGAAGGTCTCCGGCGTTCCTCCGCAACTTCCTGGTGTTTATTTCGGCCAACTAGCTTCAAATTCAAATCTCCCGGCTCATTCCCTGCAGACGTTAGCCAATTGGAACACCAAAACCCTGCACACACCAATCCAGGAAAGGAACACGCAAAGAGCATGCGCACTCAGCTTTCATCGCGTCCAATTAGGCGACCTTGAGTTTAGGCTACCAGCCAATAGGAGACTATTACTGTCTCCAGCCAATCCCCCGTGCCCAATCAGTTCTGGCGTTACTCAATTGTAACTTACGCACGATCAGCATTTGCGCAAGCGCATTTGATATCTGAAAAGTATGAAAGTCTGTCTGTGGCGTCATATTGGTAGTCGTGCATGAAGTTCCAGCCTCATTGGTTCTAGCCGGCTCCCACTATTCCTTGGATGTAAACTTTTCTGGATTTCAGTTCTTTCAAACTGGGTCCTACCCGTGTCCTAAAAGGCCATTGAAAAGGAAAATAAAAGACGCTGAGACATCAGTTTATAGCCCTGCGCATGAGCAGTGACCCGAGGGGAGAGGCCAGGGCGGGGCCTGAGCGTGGAGATTCGGCGCATGCGCTCAGCGCGCTCAGTGCGCCTGCAGCCGGGAGCATGTCGGCCCCGTTCGAGGAGCGCAGTGGGGTGGTTCCGTGCGGGACGCCGTGGGGCCAGTGGTACCAGACCTTGGAGGAGGTGTTCATTGAAGTTCAGGTGCCGCCAGGCACTCGCGCCCAGGATATCCAGTGCGGCCTGCAGAGCCGGCATGTGGCGCTGGCGGTGGGTGGCCGTGAGATCCTCAAGGTAGCGGCAGGTCGGGGTTTGTGCTCAGCTTCTCCCCTGCCTCCCCAAATCCTCGAGCGCTGAGGTTTGTGATTTCCGCAGGAGGACTATTGGAAAGCCATTGGGTTTTCTGGCTGGCGGGGAGAGCCCCGAAGCTGGACTGGTTTGGGTCTGGTTGGAGCCAGTCCTGAATCGAATGCAAATTTGAGCCCATTTCTCTGGCTTTATTTCGAAACCCAGTGAAGCTGCTTTTGTTCCTCTGCGGGTCTTCCGCTGATCGTTAAATATTTATCTTGCATATACTTTCTTCCAGGCACCGCTGTAAGTGCTGGTAGGACAGCGGTGAATGAGACAGATAAGGTTCCAGTACTCACAGGTTATGTTCTTGTAGGGAGGCATAAATAAGAAAAGCAAAATAAGAAGATATGTAGGCAGTTGCAAGAAAGTAAAGAAGAAAATAAAGGATAAGGATATTGGGAGCGGATTGAGATGATGTCAGGTGATTTTTCTCATTTAAACATTAGAAAAACCCTGCGTGTTCTGGCGTGGTTAAGCACGTGGTTGAGAGGTGCATGAACAAAATAATTAACACCCCTTTTATTCTCACCAGTGCCCTTTGACAAGGGGACCCACTTTTCCCTTATTAAGTTATATAGTTAATTAATTCGAAGTTAGATTCCTTTCTAAGATTAGCTACCCAAGATGTTCGATGGCAGTGTAGTGTAGTGAAGGCAGGTGTAGGATACCTGGCTCTGCCATTTTTCTGGTTTTGTAACCTTGGGCAAGAGATTATTCAGTGTCTCTAAGCCTTCACCCATAAGGCGCAGCAATTACAGGGCCTTACAGGATTGTTGTGAGCATAACATAGCATCCGTGTGAATGAAGAGATTGGAGTAGTGCCTGGTATGTAATAAGCACGCTGCATATTAGCTGTCATTTTATATGGAATTGCGATGAGTGCCTCAGAGGAGAGGAAGTTTCATGTGAAAGACATTGATTTATATCACCTTGGATGTTAATGACCTTTCTGAATAGTTGTGCAATTTCATAGTTTCCTGAACAGTGGTTTACATTTACAATTCAAATTCACTTTAGTAATTCCAATAAGTTGGGAATTTAGCAATAACGCTTAAATCTAAGATCTTGGCGGTACATTTAGACTAGTAGGTTTTTTTCCCACAAGTATTGACATTTGGAAAAACGTGTGTGTGTGTGTGTGTGTGTTTTTTTAATGTGACATTTTCATTTCGTTTCCTAAAACCAAGTGGGTAAGTAGCAGCAAATCAAAATGGATTTGAGCAGATGAATTCTCTTTTAAACTTAAGTTTTGCTTACTTTCTTAAAACAAGAGTTTCTGAAAAATCAGGCACCACTAATGACGTCAGGCCTACAGTATGTGCTTTAAAAAAAAAGACAAATTACCCAACAAAGAGATTGAACCAGTTTTTAAAAGTTTATTTTAAAAGATACATTTATTGATTTCATCAGGAAAGCTCTTATCTATTGATAAAGCATTTCAGATGTTAATTTCATATTTGGCTAATCAGTGATCAGTAGTATTTCTTCAGCTTCAGAAATTACGGAATCCTGATTTTTCTTTAGAGAGCCCTGTGTTCTTTGTCACAGTAAATATTCCAAGCAGTGTAAACTAGGTTCCATTTCACTCACTAGGAGGAAACAGGGTCGAGCATCTAGCAGTGTGTTGAAATGGTATAAAATTTTTTCTCCTTATTCCAACCAAATTAGACAATTACAGGTGGATTAGATAGGAAATAAGTCTTAATTCATAAAAGCTCTATAACAATTGATGAAATTTCTATATTTTTAGTAACTGATATGTTTATTTTTCAGGGCAAACTCTTTGATTCTACAATAGCTGATGAGGGAACGTGGACTTTGGGTAAGGGTAACCTATTATAGATCTTAGCATCTTTTTAAAAATTAATTTTGTCCTGGCACTTAGTATATTGTGTCCACTGTTGTATTGCGTCCTTTTGTCTTTCATGCTTTTGGAAGATCTAGTAATAGAAATGTATTGAAAACAATTGTATGACAAAGTTACCTAATGGTTTTTGAAAATACAAAATGTAATGATGAACTCTTAATTTCTTTGTACTGTTTAGAGGACAGAAAAATGGTTCGTATTGTTCTTACAAAGACAAAGAGAGATGCAGCAAATTGTTGGACTTCTCTTCTAGAATCTGAATATGCAGCTGACCCTTGGGTGCAAGACCAAATGCAGAGAAAACTTACATTAGAGAGATTCCAGAAAGAAGTAAGTCAGATAAATGTATGACTATGTGTAGCTAAACATCTTACAATCATAACTATTTGAAATTAAAACTCAAATGTGTTTATAAAATACTATAAAAATTCTTTAGAGGACTTTTTTAAGTTAAATAGTTAGAAAAATGACTGGCCTTTCTATGTATGGATTTTTTGTTTAAAATTTTCTTGAGAAGAATTTGTATGATTATGATTTCTTAGTTTAAATTTATTTAGTGTACGTTAGTAATGTGTGAATAAACTCATAAAAATTCAATGAGTGTAGACTTAGAGTGTAAAAAGGTGAAAGTCCCTTTCATCAATATCTCTGCATTCCTGCCTCTGTCTCATTCTCATCAATATATATTTTTGCTTTTTTTGTTTTTAACTTAAATGGAGGATCACCCTGTTTGTATTGTTCATGTTGCTTTTTTAATAATATGTCTTGGGTCTCTTTCCCTACTAGCACATGTAGATACAACTTACTTCTTTAGCTGCTTTAGGGTGTTTTCTATTTTGAATTTATTGTAATACTTTATTTAGCTATTCCCCTTTGATAAGATTTAGATTTCTCCACTTGAAATTGTCTACTATTTAAACAAAGATTGTGCTTTCATCGCTGAAACTATTCAGACATTCCTTTATGATAGATATCCAGGAGAATTACTGGAGCAAAGCCCTGTTAAAGTTTTGATGGATGATTTCCATCTACGTGATGATTCCCAAATGTGTATCTCTAGCCTAGACTTTTCTCCCGAATTTTGGACTTGCACATCCATTCGCGTATTTAACGTCTCCATTTGGCTAACAGACATTAAACTCAACACGTCCACTGTGAACTCCCTAACTTCCCTCCCACATTTGGTCTACCTCTAGCCTTCTTATCACGGTTGATGGAAACTAACTGTTCAAACCACACACACACACAAAAAAAAAATCAGGGAATCATCCTCTATTCCTGTCTGTCTCTCATACTGTATCAGTTTTGTCAGGAAGACTTACACCTTCCAAATATATTCAGACCTTGACCATTTCTCACCACCAGTTCTACTGCCACTCTGACCTGGTCTGCCTCTAATGTCTTGTCTACATTACTTCCATAACCTTCTATTTGTTCTCTTTACTTCTACCTTTGCCAACCTACAGCCTTCTCACAATAGCAGTTAGAGCAGTCCTTTTAAAATGCAAGTCAGAAAAAATACATACATACATACATACATAAATAAATAAATAAATAAATAAAATAAAACGCCAGTCAGATTACATCCCTTCTCAGAACTCTCACACTAGTGAAAGACAAAGTCTCATAAGGGTCTTTCTGATCTGGTCTTCCATGACCTCCCTGGCCTGTCCTACTGTCCCCCTCGGTCACTCTGCTCTAGCTATACAGGCTTTTTTGCTGTTCCTTAAACACGTGTCAGGCCATTCCTGCAATGCTTTGTTCCCAGAGCTTGGCTAGCTTCTTCACTGTTATCAAGTCATTGCTCAATGAGCATTCTTTGTGCTTGGATCATCATATTTAAATACGTACTGTAATCTCTTCATGTCCCTTATTCTCTCCTATTTTTCTTCTTCTTTTTTTTCTTCTTTTTTTTTTACTTAGCACTTAACCAACTTTTAAATACTAGATACCAACTTTTAATAACACTAGATCAGGGGCCTGCAAACTATGGCCCATGGATCAAATCCATCGCACTACCTGTTTTTGAAGTATTTTACTGGAGCATAGATACATGCTCATTCATTTGTGTATTGCCTTTCATATAGCAGCAGCAGAATTAAGTACTTGAGACAGAAACTATATGGTCTTCAAAGCCTAAAACACCGAGGGTACCAAAAAAATATATGTAAGTGGACACTTTGGTCAACTTTGCTCAAGCAGTAAAGTAGTTCACTTTACTGTAGTAAAGTAAAGTAGTTCACAAGTAATCAGAAGTGTCTGGATGCTGATGGTAACCACTTTGAGCACCTCTTCTAACTGCAGAAGTCAAACGTGACTTGCATTCAACTTTTGTTATCTATCTATATATATATAATTATTATTATTATTACTTTCCAATACAGTTTTTCTTTCTTAAAATGTGTATGCATTTTTTTGGCACTCTGTATTTGCTGCCTGGGTCTTGACAGGAAAGTTTGCTGACTCCTGTACTAGATAATGGTTTATTATCTGTCTCCTCCTCTTGTTAGGATGTAAGCTCCACCAAAGCAGGCATTTTTGTTTGTTCGCTCTTAAATTCCATGTGCCTCTAATGGTGTTCTCCAAACAGTAGGAATTCATTAAATGTTTGTTGAATAAATGAAAAGCCCTCCAAAATGACTAAAGCATGATGTAGTGCGTGCTTCATAGGATTTCTATGAGAATTAAATATGTTAATATATATATAATTCTTAGCATTCTGCCTGGCATACAGTAAGGTCTCAAAAAATGCCAGCTATTAAAATCTTTTAAAATGCTAGCTATTAAATGAAAATGTTTTCATATCTTTTAGAATCCTGGTTTTGACTTCAGTGGAGCAGAAATCTCAGGAAACTACACTAAAGGTGGACCAGATTTCTCAAATCTTGAGAAATAACAGTGTTTTGGTTTTTTTGGGGCTGCATTCTGTGGATCCTAGCGGATGTTGCCATCTTGATCAAAGGAACAGATTATGTGGTGGAAGAAAAATGTGGATGCCTACAGTTAACAAATTGCAAAATATATTTATATAATGGTTCTAAAAATTGCATTCAAATGTGATTTACGTTGGAAACATGTTAAGTACTATGGGAACTATTCTATTGCTGTATGGTAACATTTTTTGGACTTGTTTTTGCTCAGCATGAAATTTTATATGCTGCATTTTGCTAATTTCATATTTAACATATTTTTACTACAAAAACATTAGGGTATAAATCATGTGAAATGACAGGGTGACTTCAGAGAAAATTAGGTTTTTTTTTTTTTTTCAATAAGTGTGATGCAGAAATAATGTTCAATAAACTTTTCTAAATAGGAATTTTGTACCCCTTTGTCTAAATACACCAGTTCACACAAGGGAATTACATTACTGAAAAAAATTTTAAGAAAGGGAAACAGTACACAGATATATTCTACGTTAATTTTAGGAGTTAATGAAAACTTCGGAATTAGTATATTATTTCTCAAGGGATGGCTTTATGTCAAATTGAAAAATAAGAATGGTTTAATACAGAAAAGATTTGGTGAAGTGAATATGGTTATTGGGTGAGTCCATTGTTAGTGACAAAAAAACAAACTAGATTCAGTTGATTATAAGTCAGTGACATCATTTTGATCTTCAATAATCCAGACATATAGGTAAGAATTGCCTTGAAATTTTATTTCATCTTTTTAATCTTTTTAGTCAAAATGTAAACAATCTCAAATGTATAGAAAAGTTACAAGTAAAGTACACATTTTTTTTTTTTCTGAACTGTTTGTGTATATGTTCATGACAGGATGCCTGATCACCTCTGAGTACCTTAACGTGTATTTCCTTGAAAGAACACAGTCTTAACATAATTCCTAATACAACCATTAAAATCAAGAAATTATCATTGACACCTTGTGACCCTCTAATCCTCAGATTTTCATTCCATTCAAGTTTAACTGATGATTGTCCCAATAATGTCTTTTAGAGTAAAATGACCCAGTCAGAATCATGCCTTTCCTTTAGATGTCACATGTCTTTAGTCTGCTTCAATCTGGAACAAGTCCTCATTTTTTCCAAACTTTTACAACCTTGGCACTTTGGAAGGTTGCAGGCTAGTTTTGTACAACATCCCTCTTTTTTTTCTGTCTCAAATTTCTTCATGATTAAATTCAGGTTATGCATCTTTGGCGAAATGTTACAGACGTGATACTGTGTCTTATTGCATCCTATGATGAGTTAATAATTTCAGTTTGTCCTTTTTTTTACGGTATTTACTTAGATCACTGATTAAGTGATGCCTGCCAGTCTTCTCCACTGTAAAGCTATGCTTTTTATGTTTATAATTAAGTATTTTATGGAATGTAGTTTCAAAGTCTTACTACCTTGTTTCTCATCAAACTTTCATTTAAATTTTTATAGACTCATGATTTCCTTTATTTGGTGGGTTAAAATCTATTATTCCCATTACTTTGATGCTCAACATTTTTCTAGATTTGGCCAGTGAAAGACCATTCTACGTGGCTTCTATTTCCCTTTGATACGTCCCCATTATTTGAACAATTTCTTACTTTCTGGCACAAGGTGCATCGGGTGTATTATGCTTTCTCTGCCCTAGCCTAAGAATCCGTCATATTTCCAAGGAGTCCTGGTTCTGTTTAGTGGAGAACGGTTTTTAGAAGTCAAGATTTGTGGCTAGTGAGCAATTCCTGTTGATGTGTATGTATAATGCATATATTTACAGCTGTATTTGTTTCTCTATATGTGTATTGAAAACCATGAGTTCGTGCATAAACTTTCTTTTCTAAGGGGGTTTATTATTGTTTTGTCCTGTTCTATATTTATAACTTCTTTTAACAATAGTAGGAAACCTGATTCCTGTTATTTATATATTTGGGTCCCTGTTCTAGGCCATCTTCCCACATGAACGCCTTCTTCACTCTGTTCAGGCTCCAAGAGCCTGTGCCACGCAGGGATGTCCTTGTCACCTACTTGGACCCTAACAGCCCACTCTGGGCCACGGCAGCCCGTCCACACCCTTGGGCAGGATGTCCACTTTGTTGACGGTACCTAATAACTTTAGGAATGAATTGTTGGAGAAGAGGCTTTTTTCTTTTAATTCGCTTCTCATTTTGACATTTAAAAAATATTTTGAATGAACACACAGTAAAATTAACTTTTTATTTGTTTGTAGTTTTGTAAATTTTACCATGTAGATATGTTACCTCCAAATTCAGGAGATTTAATAGTTCGGTAACTACCAAAACACCTTCATGCTCACTAGATCTGTCTTCAAGGGCTTTATGTCAGTGAAATCATGTGTAATCTATAAAAACAGCTTTATTGAGATATGATTTACATACCATACCTTTTACCCCTTTACAGTGTATAATTCAATGGTTTTAGTATATTCACACACATTCAGTCATCACCATAGTCAATTTTCATTACTTAAAAAGAACCCCCATACCTCCCTTTCAGCTATCACCCTTCTCCCACTTCCTGCCCCAAGCAACCGCTAATTGACTGTATCTTATAGATTTCCCTGTTCTGGACATTTCATATACATGGAATCATAATATGTGGTCTTGTTTACTGGCTTCTTTCACGTAGCATCATGTTTTAGAGGTTCTTCCATGTTATGTGCCAGTCCTTCATTCTTTTTGTATGTATGGCTAAATAATATTCTATATGTGATTACCACACATGTTTATCCATTTGTCAGTAGATAGACATTTGAGAGGTTTCCACCTTTCGGCTATTCTGAATAATGCTGTTACAAATAGTCAAGTACAAGTTTTTATGTGCAGGTATATTTTCATTTCTAGGACTGAAATTTCAAGTCATGTGGAAACTAATCACTTGAGGAACTGTTATCGTGTTTTCCAAAATGGCTATGCCGTTTTACATTCCCATCAGCAGAGTGTGAGAGGCCCAGTTTCTCCACATCTTGTCAATGCTTATTATGTGACTTTTTGATTCTAGCCATCCTAGTGGATGTGAAGTGTTGTCACGCTGTGGTTTCGATTTGTGTTCCCCTGATGACTAATTACGTTGAACATCTTTTTTTTTTTAAGATTTTTATTGAGGAATTGGGGGAAGGGGAACAGACAAGTTGCTGTCCTTTTGTTCTTCAGTGTAGTTGTGGAGGACGTTGCTTCACTGGCCCAAGTTGGCACTATCATTGCGCTCTTCCTGGGCGAGGCAGACCAGTCACTGGCCTCTGGACAGCCGCTCACGCTGGCTGCTGGCTACACACGGTAGCCCATGGCAACCCACTGCCACAGGGGCTGCAGCCTACACCATCGCTGGCGACTCACGGCAGCCCAGCTCCAGGTTGAGCTGTTGTTCACCATCTTAGCTGTAGAGGGCAGTGTCACTGGCCCTCATGTGGGATCCGAACCGGGCCCTCTGGCATCCCAAGCCAGCTCTTAACCATCACGCCACTCGGCCGGCCCTTGAACATCTTTTCTTGTGCTTATTTACCACTTGTGTATCTTCTCTAGAGAAATATTTGTTCAGATCTTTTCCCATTTTTAAATTGGGCCATCTGGGTTTTTTTGTTTTGTTCCTCAATTTTGAGAGTTCTTCATATATTCTGGAAACAAGTTCCTCATCAGATATATGATTTGCATATATTTTTTATCATTGTAGGTTTTTTTTTTTTTACTTTCTTGATGGCGACTTTTGAAGCATGAATTTATTCAATTTTGATGTCTTAATTCGTCATGCTTTTGGTGGATTACGCGTTTGATGTGATGGTTGTGAACTCTGCATAATCCTAGGTTATGAGGATTTTTTCCAATGTTTTCTTCTAAAAGTTTTTATAATTTTGTGTTTTACGTTTAGATGTGTGACATATTTTTAATTATTTTTTGTGTAAGCTGTGAAATACAGATGGAGGTTCATTTTTTTACATATGGGTGGATGTCCAGTTGTTTCAAAATCATCTGTTGAAAAAACTACACTTTCTCCATTAAATTGTTTTATGCACTTTTGTCAAAAACCAATTGTTATTTATATGGATCTGTTTTTAGTCTCTCTTCTATCCCATTGATCTCTGTGTCTACCCCTTCTCCAATACCACACTGACTTGATAATTACAGCTTTATAAAAGTAAGTCTTAAAATTGGGTAGCACGATTCCTTCAATTCTTTTCCAAAATTGTTTTGGCTGTTTTAAGTTTTTTACCTTCTGTGTAAAGTTTAGAATCAGCTAGTCTATATCTACAAAAAGTCCTGCTGGCATTTTCATTGCAATAATGTATAAGTCTTCCAATCCATGAACATGGGGCATCTCCATTTGGGATGTCTTTGATTACAGGCATCAGCATTTTGTGGTTTTTAGCTTACCAGAACCTTTACATCTTTTGTTAGATTTATTCCTAAGCGTTCATTTTTCTGGAGTTGTTGTAAATGATATTTTTCTTGAAATTGTGGTTTCTATTGCACATAGCTAGTGCATAAAAGTATGCTTGATTTTTGCTTGTTGACCTGGTTGTATCCTGTGACCTTGCCGAAGTCATTTACTAGTCATAGGAGATTTTTGTCGATGATTCCTTGGGATATTCTGCATAAAGCACAATTAAGAACAGTTTTATTTTGTCTGTTCTAGTCTGTAGGGCTTTTATTTCTTTTTATTGCCTCATTGCACTTGCTAGAATAGGAGTAGTAAAAGCGAGCTTCCCTTGTTTTGATTGTTTCTATTGGGTCGTCTGGAAAGTCATGACGCATTTTTGCATTGAAAAACAGAAAAATACGTCATGACTTTCCCGACAGCCCAATAAATCGTTCAGTCTTTCACCATTAAGTATTATGTTAGCTGTAGGTTTTTATATTGATGACCATTATCAGGTTGAGGAAGTTATCTTTTGCTAGTCAAGTTTGTCTCATGAGTGGATTTGAATGTTTTCAAAATACTTTTTTTCTCAGTTGATTTGATCTATTTTTTCTTTCCTTTAGACTGTTCATATGGTGGATTATATAAACTGATTTTCAAATTTTGAACCAGATTGTATTTCCCCCCCATCCCAAACTTGGTCATGGTGCATTATTCAGTTTATATATCTGATTTTTTCTGTTGAGGATTTTTCTGTCTGTTCATTTGTGATATTGGTCAGTAGGGTTTTTTCTATTATCTTGGTTTGGTATCAGGGTAATGCTGGCCTTATAAAATGAATTGAGAAGTTATACTACTTTCTGGAAGAGATTTGTAGCATTTGTGTTAAGTCTTTGAATGTTTTATGGGATTTGCCAGTAAGATTTTAAACAATGAATTCAATTTTTAAAAATAATTATAGAACTTATTCAGATTATCTAATTTATTTAAGTTTTGGTAGTTCATGTCTTTCAAGGAATTGATTCATTTAATCTGTGAGCATAGATTTGTTTGTGGTATTTCTTTAGAGTCCTTCTAATGTCTTTAGAGTTGTAGTGGTATCTCGTTCATTCCTATGATTGGTCATTTCTGGTTTTTTTTTGTCAATATTGCTAGAGGTTTATCAATTGTATTGCTCTTTTCAAAGAACTACTAAGTTTTGGTTTTGATTTTCCCTATTGTTAATTCGTTTTCTATTTCATTGTTTTTTTTACTCCTCCTTTTCAATGACTTTCTTCCTCTGCTTGCTTTGGGTTTATTTTGCTCCTTTTTTAGTTTCTTAAAATGGAAGCTTACATAATTGAGAACTTTTTTCTTAATAAAAGCAGCTGACTAGGCATTATTCTCTAAGCACTGGTTTAGCTGCATTCTGTGCATTTTTATATTTTTATTTTCATTTAGTTCAAAATACTTTATTTTCCTGGAGACTTCCCCTTAGTTACATGAATTTATTTAGAAGTCTGTTGTTTAATTTCCAAGTGTTTGGAGATTTTTCCCTTTATCCATTATTGATTTCTAGTTTATGATCAGAGAGCATACTTTGTATGACTTGTTCTTTTAAATTCCTGAAGGTTTAAGACCCAGGATATGGTCTATGTTGGTTGGTGTCCCATGTGCATTTGAAAAGAATGCCTGTTCTGTTTTAAAATGAAATGTTTTATCTCAAGTAGATCCTGCTGTAGATTCATTTCTTCCACGTTCTTGCTGATTTTTAGTTCTGTAGATTACTGAGAGGAATGTTTTAAGTCTCCAACTATCAATGAAGCTTTGTCCAGTTTTCCTTTCAATGCCGTCTCTTTTTGCTTCTTTTATTTTTAAGCTCTGATGTTCGGTGCATATTTAGGATTGTAATGTCTTCTTGGTGAATTGTTTTATTCAATGTCCCTCTTTTTCCCTGGTTGTTTTCATTGCTCCTAAATCAATTTTGTTGAATTAACAACTTGTCTTTTAATTCATCTTATTTGACTTATGCTTACTGGTTTGGGTTTATGGAAAGTTATAGGTTTTACACTGAATAAGCGATAACACATTTTATAAAAATTGTTATTATACAATAAAATAGGGAAAATAGTGTTGTTCTTTAATAATCACTGAAGTTAATGTGGTCGGAATATAACATATATATATATGATATATATATAAAACATGTATATTATAAATAACATAATGTGGTCAGTTTTGATTGGAAATTATACAATTTCATGAGTCCATTTAATCTTCTATTTTGGGAGGTAATATGCAGTGGTTAAAAACACAGCCTTTGGGTCAGAACTGCCTGGATTTGAACCTCACCTCCAAGACCCAGGTATATGACCTTGAGCTGATCACTTACCTTCTCTGTGGCTCAGGTTCATTTGTAAATTGGGATAACCTCATACAGTTTGGAAGATTACATGAGATAATTTATATAAAATATCTGCTAATAGTACCTGACAGTAAAAGCTATTACTAACCACAAATATTAGATCAGAAATGTCAGTTGCTTAGGTACTACCGCATTTCCCCATGTATAAGATGCACCTTTTTTCGAAAAATTTGGGGTGTAAAAACTGGGTGTGTCTTATACAGTGGTTGTAGATTTCAAATGCCATAGATGGAACTGAGGATGAGGCAATATATGAAGACGGTGATTCGTCATCAGACACGGATGAGGACAAGCTAATGGTTGGGAGTTTTGACAGTGATGAGTTGTATGAATTTTATGATGAATAAAACTTGAGTTCAATAACTTTACGTAATACATTATTTTTCAAATTTCGGGCCCCAAAATTAAGGTGCGTCTTATACATGGGGAAATACTGTATGTTGCATAATAGGAAATACATGTAAGGTTGAGATCCCTTTTTACAATAACACTTGCGAAAAGAGGAGTTATTAAATATCTAACCATATAAATTAGATATTAAATATCTGAGTCAAGTGAAAATGGAGCCTTTTTTGGTTTTCTTTATCAGTAATTCCTTGTGTTCACTTTGTCTTGTTAGTATAATTAAACATTAATAGTTCAAAACTATGTATTGTTTCAGTTCAATAATTACCAATTGATCTAAGCAGGCTAACAGTGCTTGGCAGTTACCTGTCTTTACCAACTACCTTGCTGGAATACTGTTGAATTAGGTAAGTTGGTTTACACAGACTTCAGGTGGGCTGAATCTAACTAAGGGTGACTTTATTAAAGATAGCCATAAGTGATGAATCTAAATGACAAAAGTGACTGCAGTGCATAAAAATCACCTTTATAATGCACATTAAACCTATTATGTGTCTATTTTAAAAAGCCATTAGTGAGTAAAATGTAGGTTATTGCCATACACTTAAAAGAGATTTTGTTTCTGCTACCATGCATCTTCAGTGCTAAATTTTTTTTTTTTTTAATGTTTATTGGGGAATTGGGGGATGGGAACAGCGCTGGGGAATTGGAGAAGGGGAACAGACAAGTTGCTGTCCTTTTGTTCAGTCTGGTTGTGGATGACATTGCTTCACTGGCCCAAGTTGGCACCATCATTGCGCTCTTCCCGGGCGAGGCAGATCAGTTGCTGGCTTCTGGACGGCTGCTCACGCTGGCTGCTGGCTACACATGGTAGCCCATGGCAACCCACTGCCATCGCCGGCGACTCACGGCAGCCCAGCTCCAGGTCGAGCTGTGTTCAACATCTTAGCTGTAGAGGGCAGTGTCACTGGCCCTCATATGTGGGATCCGAACCGGGGCCCTCTGGCATCCCAAGCCAGCTCTTAACCAATGTGCCACTTGGCCAGCCCAGTGCTAAATTTAAATATACTGAGCAGAGATAGTTTTTTGTTGTGGTTCTGCCATCACACTACCAAACTAGTTAATTAAATCAGAAGAGAAACAAATAGTAAACATAATGCATTTCAGTAACTTTATTGAAATGTACTATATCCAGTACCAAACATAATGGTAGTTGGTTAGGTTACCTCTGCCAGTCAAAATTAGCACAGATGTAATCAAAATATTGAAATATATCAGACTTTTGGGAAAACTGAAAAGTTATCTACAAAACATGGTTTACAAAAGTATAGGATACACTGTGGTTCTTTGGTTTATTTTCCAGTGCATATTTACCCATAACATCATATCAAAATTGGGTACAGCCATCCTAGATGGATTCAAGCTACATATTGCACTGAGTAACTGTTTACAACACTTTTAACACTGTAGATCTCCTTATATTCACTGACTTAATTGAAAACCTTGCACACTACCTCAGCAACCTCACAATTATGAAGATGCTTATTAAGACTTTCGGTTGGCACAGTAGGTACAATTAGTGAAAGTATTGTCTCTCGATTTTAAACAATTCTAAATGAGAAGCTATGGCAGTTTTATAAAAACAGTCCTTAGTAGAAACTTCTGGAGTGTTAAACCTTAGTAGAAACTTTTGGAGTGTTAAATCGGCAAGTTTTTAGAGTGATGTTAATTATATTTTTAGTTACTAACAATGAAAACTAATTGTCTCGATGGAACTAGATAAATTGAAGCAGTAGACTTTGTGTAAAAACTTTATCATGGATACAAACATCATCTGCTTTCTAGAAAATACGTTAAATATAACTAAATATACCACAATTACTAGATGTATAGTTTTGCTTTATATAAAATGCCCTCCAATTTAAATGTAATTCCCATGTAGCAATAAAGTCCACATCTCTGGATTATCTCTGACTTGCATTACGGGGGCCAAGAAACCATTTTCACTGCCTAGAATAGCGACCCTTGTCATTGTCTTCAAAGTGCATTTGTGAAATGTTGGAGGTAAAACTCATAATTTAAAAAAGTTAACGTTTACCATTTTTAATACCACCTAAATATATTGACCTGATATAGAAAGTTGGAGTGTTAAAAATGAAGATTCACAGTATATCTTTCCAGGCTGTCATTAACAACTCACATTCATGCACTTGGCTTGCTTTGTGTGCCTCACGGATGAAGTCAAATTTAAGCATAATTCCACTACAGTGTAATGTTAATTAAGCAGTTTTCCCAAATCTGACAACATGAGTGCTAATCTAGTTGTGATGTTTTGAGGCTTCACAGCTTAAATCCATGACGACATTCTGGAATCCATAGCTCAGGATTGTGGAGAAAGGCTTCAGGTTTTTGTTGCTGTAACATCCTATTTAACCAAACAAAAATCAAGTTATCAGAAGTCTGCCAAACAAATACTACTGATAAAAATGAGCTGTTTATATCTAAGATTCATAGTCATGTCACATGAAGATTTTTGAAATGTTAACATTTAATTTTGATTAGGTAAAAGATTAAATCACTACCGAGTTAAAATTTAGGTGCCAAGAATGTATATCTCAGTGATGGTCACGCATGTAACCACTTTGCAGTGCTCCAGTTGCTATAGAGGTGATACACAACTAGAGCATTGAGATACCCTGGTGGTCACCAGACACCCCATGTGAAGACTGCCTGCCATAACTTACGTTTCCTGTAAGTACAGCATGCAAGATCATACTGATTTTGCTTATAAGCTAACAGTCTCAAATCAGTTCATTAATGGTTCGCTTTTGGTCCTATTGTCTTACTCAGGTTTGTGTAACTTGCAATGGACCAGAACTTGAGTCTACATACAGCAAAATAATGTGCAGTGAAGAATTACTGTTTTAGTGCTACTTTTAACATTCAGGTTATTACAGAGGATGCTGTTTTCTCAGCTGATAATTTGATGAAATGGTTAACGTACGTATCGCAGGTTGGATAATTCCTTACTCTTTGGGTGTCATGCCTTGAATGAAGTAAATACCCTTAAATATTATACTAGATCAGTGAAGTTATTTTCCCCTTTGCTATTCCAACTCCATTTTATTTTAAAAATAATTCGCATTTTAATTCTTGAATTCTAGAAAAAAACTAGGGCATTAGAAAATGTTCTCTATATGGAAAATAACTATGAGCCAAATTTACCAATTAAGGGACCGTTTCAGGAATTGTTGGAAGGTGGGTTATTCTGTAGTAACTATGCTTCAACTGCCGTGCAGTACGCCCAGAAACAATCCATTTCAACTTCTGAACATTTGGTTTGGAACACTTGTTTGACGAATATTCAGTTAAACACTTGGATACGAGCTCTTGCCAGAAGGTCAAATCTCTGCCATTTATCTGTACATAAATTTAAAAAAATTATAAATAAGTCCTATAGTATTTAACTAAAATAATAAAGCAATCTTATTAACATGTGTCTTTTCTCATCAAAAAAATTTGAGGAAAAGCTTAAGTTTCAAACACATGATATATCATTTTACTTCAAGACATAGTACAAGTAGTTTAGTTTCTTTTACAGCTGTTAGCAGGATTTAGGCTATGACCTTGACATACCTTGCAGTGTTTCTGAAGACATCCCACTCCTTCGGTTAACTCGACACACTTCTGTGCTTGAATCTCCAATCCAATGATAGACAATGCCAACACAGATGGCTAAAAGAGATACATTTTAAATGTTGAATATAAAACAGGTATATAAACAGGTTTACTTTTTATATAAAATATTTACCTTTGCTTTAGAAAATATGATCCTGCAGTGGCATGCCTTAAGTTGAGCTTCTAGTCTTTCAAAATTAAGGCTATTCCTCCTTTAAAAAGAAAATGGGATTGATTTTATGTAGATAATTTTACATCTAGTCCAAAGACAAATTTTTGGAAAAGCAGTCAGTTTTAAAGTTAAGTTTATGCACACTTACAAAAAATTGTTTGAAGCAAAGAATTCCCCTTTCTGCAAACATTAACTCCTTAAGGATACCATACATGAATTTTAAATGATTTAGGCAAAAAAAAAGTATCATGTCACAACTATCAAGGTTTCTTTTCATTTTAATAAAACTATTTCTGCATCTACTGAAGTTATTTTTTCCATAAATCTGTGTTAGATGCTTATCTACTAGGCTCTGTAATGTCTATACATGCAAAATGTAGTATAAATAAAAGTTGAAATGTTTTTTAATCCCAAGAATTAGCCTTTGCAGACTTCAAGAAGCCACTGACAACTGAAAGCCTTCTCCCTTTTGCTGGACAGTGAAGTGAAATTCAAGGAGCTGCAGCTGTCATTTTACTTATTTTTATTGGAGTTCTCCCAGGATTTCGATTTTAACATCCAGACAATACCGTTCTGGTTTTCAAATCCCCAAGTTCAAAACAGATCACATACCTTTCAAATGGCAAGCTCTCTTGAATGAGTGAATAGTAGAGCTGCAGAAACTGAAAGGCAGTAGTAGCTTTGACTTTCCAACACACCTTCTCCAGCACAATCTTTTCCATCCTCATCAGGTCTGAAATTGTGAACCTATACTGGCTGATTCGAATCAAGTCGGTTGCCAATGGGATGTTCCTTTCCTCTTCAACTGATTTTACAGCCAAATAGAAGCAACTCAGTCCAACACACCCAAGGTGCTTGGGCTGTACCTAAAAAGACAATAAGTCCATGTCTTCACCTTATTTCAATTAAAAAACATAAGGCAGCGGTTCTCAACCTTCCTAATGCCGCGACCCCTTAATACAGTTCCTCATGTTGTGGTGACCCCCAACCATAAAATTATTTTCGTTGCTACTCTATAACTAATTTTGCTACTGTTATGAAGCATAATGTAAATGTCTTTGTTTTCCGATGGTCTTAGGTGACCCCTGTGAAAGGGTCATTTGACCCCCAAAGGGGTCGTGACCCACTGGTTGAGAACCGCTGATGTAAGGGATCATCTATAACTCAAACTCCATTATGAAAACATATCTTTGAGGAATAGTTCTCAACTGTGAAGGAAATAACAAGATCAACTGTAGCCTATCAGCCCAGCGCACCTTACTGGGAACCCATTTTGGAGTAACTGGACTAAGTTTCAATATAATGTTTTTAAATCACTGTAGAACTAACTATAAGCACTGTGTTCTAGTTGGAACAAATAAATTAACTGGTCAAAGGCTTACGTGAGGACCGAAATACAGCTTATGCACACAATTTCTTTCCAGAACCTTGTGTTTTTCCAGGCTCTTTTCTTTGTAGTTAACACTAGCACATACCTTTTACTCTGCCTGTAAAGCTTTGTCCACTATCAGTCTTTTTTTATTCATCATTTTCTGAATGTCTACAATGTCAAACAGTCAAAATTCTAACCACGGCTGGCCGAGTGGCCCGATGGTTAAGAACTGGCTTGGGATGCCAGAAGGCCCCGGTTCGGATCCCACATGAGGACCAGTGACACTGCCCTCCACAGCTAAGATACTGAATAACAGCTCAACCTGGAGCTGGGCTGCCGTGAGTCGCCGGCGACGGCGTAGGCTGCAGCCTCTGTGGCAGTGGGTTGCCATGGGCTACTGTATGTAGCCAGCAGCCAGCGTGAGCGGCCAGCAGCCGCTGTGAGCAGCCGTCCAGAAGCCGGCGACTGATCTGCCTCACCCGGAAGAGTGCAATGATGGTGCCAACTTGGGCCAGTGAAGCAACGTCCTCCATAACTAGACTGCAGAACAAAAACGACAGCAACTTGTCTGTTCCCCTTCCCCCAATTCTCCAAGCGCTGTTCCCATCCCCCCAATTCCCCAATAAAAATCTTAAAAAAAAAATAAATTCTAACCACTGTTTAAGTTCTACCTCAAATGAAACTTTAGGAAGCCTTTACCAGTGTCTGCACTCTCCTGTTCTTAAAACCCCTTCAGCAATATATTTATGCCTCTTCAGAGGTATAATGTAATTATTTTTCTTAGACTTTGTCCTGTATGATAGTTATTGGTGCACACATTCTCACACAAGACTAAACACTTAAGGGACAGATGCATTTTATTCACCTGTGCGACACTGACAGCTTCAAAGGCAGTGCCTGCACATGCTGTCTAAACAGTTGTTTAATTAGTCTGTTGAACAGATTTCTTGAACCATCCAATTCAACAAATACTGAGTTCCTCCTGCATATGATGCATCGTGTTAGGTACCGAGGACTAAAAGATGAGTTGCAGCCCCATTGTCAGATTATCTCACTATCCATCAATGACCACAGGCACGGAAGGCAGATGTATTTTGAACAACTAAGCTAGCTAGCTCTGAAAGCTACACCGATGAACTGCTTATCCAATACAGGCAAATAATCATATAAATGCTCCTTCAGATGATTCTTCTCTACTGTAGGCCAACTGATGCTGGAAATGCCAAGCATCAGCAAGACTTGAGTCCAAGGCTAAAACAATCAGAGCTCTATATAAGTAGAGATTAAACATACTCTTGACCAAATGGTTGATGGCATCAGCAAAAAATTAAAAATATATATACTCTAATTCTTAAACACAATCTAGCATTCTGCTGCCAATACATTTCCTTGTAATTGAAAAACAACAGTAAATGAATAAAAATACAGAACCTATTAAAGATTTTTGAAAACGACAGCCAACTCTCCTATTGGGAGATCCTGCAATTATTTGATGTTAGACTTTTTCAGTGTCAGAAGTTAAATTTCATAAATAATGCATTCCTCGATTATAAGAAAGAATATTCTTCAATGTTGTAGTACATAGAATTCCATGTTTTGGCTACCTGCTGAAAATGAAAAAGGTCAAGTTTGTGACTACCAGTCCAAAGCTAGCAATTCCATCCCCAAACCACATTGAGCAAAACTAAAGAATACGGTTATGTAACTGTCAACATACCTTCATTTTGGACAGGAACCTGTCCAGTAAATTCACAGCTAGAGAAAATGTCTCGGTGTCGAAGCCAAAGAACTGAGTTAGACTCAGAAGATCTTTTACTTCAAAGTCCCTTAGCCTTGCAGTCATCCTGAGGCCGTTATCATGTGCCGATTCAATGAGTCTCAAGCCGCAGACCTTTGGCTGACATTTCAGCTCCTGATCCAACAGGGCATTCAGCTGGTGTAGCAGTTTCTGAGCGTCAGTTGTTGTCAGTACCTCTATCATCTATATATAGAACGAAGTGCAGAAAGGAGTATAAGAATAACCCTCCCTACACCGTGTTGTGCCAAGTGCTTTATAAGTCCCCCCGCCCCCAATGCTGCTCCTGAATCTAAGTTGTTGCAAAGTGCCATCTGTTTTGCCCACCCTTCCCCCAACCGGGTGGTCGCGTTCGAAATTGTGAGCTCCTAGAGGGCAGGGAGCCGTGTCTTTAAAGAAAAAATGCAAATCTTCAAGAAATGACTTGTGAAAGTCATTCATTGTCAAGAGGTAACTGAATAGACGCTGTAAGATAGGAAACCGAAACTTTGAATTTATGTGGTGGTATGTATTCTGCCATATATTAACACAATGTAAACTGTTCAAGTTAGTTATTTTTTCTTAGTCCTTAGTCCCCCACCTGTAAAGTGGGTATAAGGTTATTACCTACCTCACTGACTTGTGCGGAATAAATGAGGTCACCTAGGTATAGAGTTTAGCACATACAGTAGGTGCCTAATTAATACTGGACAATAATAAACTTATTACTGTCTCTCTAAAATGAGGTAACAGTATCTGTCTCTTTGGCTGTGAACATTAAACAAGATGATTTACGTAGAGTTTAGCACAGTGCCTGGCACACAGCGCTCAACAATTAATTTTTATTGGCGTTAGGAAAGGAAGCTTAAAAGGCGTTATGGGAACACGTAGGGGGGCTAATCTAGCCTGCAAATGAACCTGGGGACTTTTTATTAATACACTGAATTTTTATTATATTAATAATACTGCACGTCTATGTCCCGGTCACAAGCTAAGCCCTGGCTACACGGACGGTCCCCTCCGCACACCAACTGAAAGACAGGAAGGTAGGGGATCTTTAGAGTTAGGCGACGGAAGGGGTAGACAGATGAGGAGCCACTAACTTTAAGGGTCCAACCCTTTCGCCCTGGGCTAGTCCCTGGAACCCAGCCGACCTGACCCTGAGACACCTCGGATGGAAGACAGGTAGGATATGGACCCGCCCCTCCAGGCTCGGACTTGTCTGGACTTGTTGCTTACAGCAGCGGGATGGCTAATCGAGGAAATGCGCCCCCAGTTTGCTCCCTACCCTCACCCGGAGGTCAACCCCGTAATCCCAGCTCACCTTGATCACGAATGCGGCTCCTCAGCGCTAATCACCCTCCCCGGGCCTGCTCGCACCTCAGCCCACGATATCAGATCCGGGAGACCTACGAGGCCCAGGGGATTCGCGGGCGAAAGGGGAGAGGCCCGGGGAGGGGGAGCTGTCCTGGGTGGAGGTCTCCGCAGCGCCGCCCAGGCGACACTGCCCTCCTCTGGGTCAGCTCGGAGCCGAAGGGACGGCGACTGGCCTCCTGAGTGATATATTGGAGGGCGGAGCCTTCCTCAGCAGAGGAAGGGGGGCATTTTCGCCGCTGATTGGTGAAGTTCTTTTGATGGATGGCCCCGCGAACCAAAGAGAGCTGGTCCACAGAGGGAGGGAGTCACATTCTCCGCTCTGGAGACCACGCCCCCTACCTCTGAGCGTCTCTCATTGGAGAATTTTTTAAGCTGTCTTCAATGGAGAGCAGGGCGAGTTAAATGCTGCACGCACTAACCCTGTCCCGGGTAAGGTGGTTGCTGGCGGCCGGATTGGCCAGGGTACATTCCAGAATGGACTGGGAGTTTTTGTCCCGTGCGGTTTAGTAGAGCGGTTCTCCCCTCGCTTTCTAAAAGTACAGTGCCTAGTTACCAAAAAAAAAAAAAAAAAGTAAAGCTGCTTTTTCATTACAGATGAAGAGGTGGTGTATTTTTAATGGTAACTTATTAAATTCCAGAGGTTTCCCTTTGTGAGCTTTGGAAATCAATTGGTCCTGGCCTTATTTTGCTTTTTGTGTAATTTGTCAGAGTGGAGTTGGGATACATAAATTTTTAGTCTTATACCGATTTTCTGAATTTGATTTTTTAGCAAATTGAAATAGACAAGTCAGTAGTTTCTCAGTGGCTTAAAATGAAAGGTATGTGGTTGACGCTTAAGAGGAATACACGGGCAAAATAATTGTAGTGACTATGAATCTCAGTCCACAGTTCCGTGTGTGAAGCAATATTCTCTTTATCCACTGTAAATGAACTTAATCTCTGTGATCCTATGCCAGGTTATTGGGAAAAAACATTAGCCTGAGGCCTTTCTCAGCTCCCTCCCTCCCTCTTCTCTCTCCGGGATTGTCACAATTGAGAAAGGTCTACTTCCAAAGGACCTTAGTAAAAGGTGAAATCTGAAGAGAAACCAGAGTAAAAAAAAAAAAAAAAAAAAAAAAAAAAGGCCTTAAGACTGGTAAGCAATGAGTCAGTTATCACTTCTTAAGCTCTGTACTTGACCGTCTGTTCTCATGGCCTCTTCCTTTTTAGTGGCTATCTGGGCTTTGAAAAAGTGAAAATCTGAAAGATTTGCTGGCACCTCTGCTGTTTGCCCTACCGTGTGTTTTCCTGAGGCAATGTCACAGAACCAGGCCCTGAAATGGGGCAGAGTTGTGGGAGGAAAGGAAAGGGTAAACTGGTGAGGAAAAAAATAATATTGCAAAATGATACCTCAGGCGCTTAGTCAAGTCAGTTTGACAAACTGCGCGGCCTTGCAAATGGAAAAGCAGCCTTGGTCCTCCCTGAAAATAAACCTGCGTAATGAATATAAATGGGCCATTTAAAACATTTAAAAAGTGCTTAAGTAATATGTGAGTTTACAAATGTACCTGTTTCTGCTTTTGGCTTTTGGTAACAAAATTACAAATATATATATACACATGCACTCTTTCACTAATATCTGTTGAACACATAAAATGTGCCAGTGGAGACCAAAATATATTGGTTCCTGTCCCTTGGAACACCTAGTCTTGTGGACAATATAAACGCACAGGCTTCGGAATAAAACTGACTTATTTTCAAATCACAGGCTACTAACTAGGAAATAAAGTTTTTCTCAAAAATAAGAAGTGTTTTATAAGAGGATTAAATAATGCAAAGTACTTGAAGAGGTAGGCACTGTGCCCTGAACACAGCAAGTACTTGCTAAATGATAACCTTTATTATTAAATTACTAATATTTCTTTTGAAATGTGTGCTTACACATGCATTTGATTGTGTTTTCTCTATTGCCAGACTTAGTCTCCTATGCTCAGCCAATAATCAGAGTATTAAAATGATTTATTTAACACTAATAGGAATACCTAAATTACATGTATTAATTTCTATACCTTATTTATACTTGAAATTGTCACATGAGACTTTAGTTAAAATATCATTATTTATGTAATATCAATGATTTCTCTCATGTTAGGGTCTTGTTACTACTGTTTAGTAAAATCTGAAATCCCCTACATAAAAAAAATGTATTTCAATAGCACTGAAGAAACATGAATTAAATGTAAATCAGTCAAATGGACAGTCTTTACCTTTTCTCTTTCCCCTCACCCCCACTCTTATTTTTATTCTATAATATTAGAATACAGACGTTCATTTAAATAACTGTAAAGACCTACTTAGCAAAATGTGCAAATGTAAGACTCAATGATGTGCTCTTGTAAAAGAAAGAAAATGAGCCCTGCATTAACTATTTTATTTTTAAAGATGTGTAGATTTAGCAATGAATTTCACTGGAGAATTTTTCAAATGACTGGTTTCTGGGGTATTTTCTGGGCTTAGTGATGTATTCAGCTGCCATCTTCATACTTTCTTCTTCATCAACAACAGTTAAGTTCAGCAAGAACCGGAGCTCAGAAAAATGGTTTTGAGACAGGAAGAGAATCCCAGGCAGTAACAGGAAATTTTAATCATTTTAATCATGTTCTCTGCATTGTAGACTGCAGAAGTGCCTTTGTGCAAAAAAAAAAAAAAAAAGATAACAAGCAGGTATGACAGTGTGTCATATGCTGCCTTAACTCATAGGGAAATTCATCCTTGGTTCTGTTTCCATTCTGGAGATTAGAGGAGGCTTTGTACCTCACTGTCTGTTCAGGCTCCCTGACTAAGTTTTGGATATAGGCTTGTCCAGTTGTGATGAAGGCCAGGGAAGTGAGATCAAAAGAACCTCAGGGGAGTCCCTTCCCCTTTACTTTCTGATCCTTCCTGGAACTATGGATTACAGCCCCTGCCACGTCACCAACTGTTCTCTAGAGCACCTGCTCTGTCTTATTCATTTGATGAGAACTTGCCTGTCAGTGGGTTCTTGGAGTCTTTATTAGTCCCTGGGATACCAGAGAAATTGTGTGTTGTCTGGGTGGTGGTGGGCGGCAGGGAGAAGGTTACGTAGAAAACAGATGAGTAATGTCATGTATAACTTGCCATTCAGAGATTCTAGCTACCTCAGATAAAGGAACCCCTTCTAATTATAATAATTGAGGTTTTATTAATACTGTATTCCATGGCAAACTAAAAGTTATTTGTCAAGTAACCACTGCTACATAAAGGCACTAGGAGACTCTCCCTCTCTAGCATGTAGTCCGATGGCCATAGACTTTGTTGAGTGCAGGGCTCAAAGCCAAGGTCCACCAATAATGGATTGTGGCCAATGATTAGCTTTGATTAATCAGGGGATCAGGAAGAAGGAGGAGGTGAGGAATAATGTTCAAATTTCTGGTTTAAGCAAAAGATTGAATGGGGAGTCCGTATATGTGCTAAGATCAGGGGGTATAGGAAAAAGACCAGGTTTGTGGAGGAAGAATGTGAGCTAGATGCAGGAGGGTCTTCTAGGCGAAGATGTGCAAAATGCACCTTGAGAAACACTGGGTGCTGCAGATAGCTTTGGGGCTCATCCTAATACAGGAGGTGATTGGAGTCCTGGAAGCAGATTAGTTAGGAATGGGAGAGACACAAGAGAATATGTTACAGAAATCGAGAGAAAGTGTTTCAAAGAGAGAGTGAGACCAGTATCTGATGCTGCAAAGAGGATACAATGAAGTATTAACAAGAAAGAGAGAAAATGAAATCAACGAATATACAAACCACTCTTGCAAGGAGCATGACTGTGAGGGGGAGAGGCGATACACAGAGGGTGGACATGATACTGAGAGAGATATTTTGCTTTTCAAGATGAGCTAGATTTGTGCACATTTAAATAATAATAGGAAAGAGCCAGCGGGGGGGGGGGAGAAGCATCTGACTACTGGAACAATCTAAGGCCTCATATGACTCTAGTCAATTTGCATTTGGTCAGCTGTATTGTTATAAAGCTTCTAGTCAAATATTCACAGACTATAATGGAAGCAAACAACACAACGGAGCAGAAATTCTGTGTATTAAGCATGCTTAAAATTCGTGGAATAGATGTAAAGACATATCACTAAATCCTTTGTGTTTTATATTCATAATTTCCAGTTTCAAATTGCTCAAAAGACTCTTCTTGAGTTAAAACATTCTGCCTTGTCAAGTTTAAGAGCTTTATATCAGTGCTGACTTAAGAGCAATAAACAAAAGCATGCATTTTATGTACTCTATGTAGTTAAAATATGATAGAACAAGGCATCAATTTGCTCAAGACTTCTTAAAATATCTAGCTTTTGTTGGCAGTCACCCATGCATAGATTTAGCTCAAATAGAATAAAAACTTTTGGTATGTTATGGAAATTTCTATTTTTAATGGAAAATACATGTATTTACATCATGCAACCATAAATACAGTGTGACCATGAAAATACTTGGATGTGATAAATAATACTGCCAAATAGCATCAAAACAGTTTTGTTGTTTTGTTTTTTAGTAAGAAAGTACCTGTCACTCCTGGCCTTGTAGAAGAACTTTCAATAACCAAAAGCAGAGGCTTGGCTGAGACACTGAGGAAAAGGCTGCCGTCTGGATCTCAGCTTTCTGAGTTACTGGTTCACAGCCTCAGCATTTTCACAGTTTACCGTAGTCCTCACTTCTCTGCAATTTCACTTACCTTGGTTTGTTACGCGTGGTAAACCGTGGTCTGAAAATACTAAATGGAAAATACCTGAAATAAAATTCATAAGTTTTAAGTTCCATGCTGTTCTGAGTAGCGTGATGCAATCTCGCAAGTCCCGCTCGGTCCCACCCCAAACGTGACTCTTGCCTTCATCCAACATCTCCACGCTGCATATGCCCCACACCTGGTAGGCACTTAGTAGCCATCTTGGTTATCAGCTCCACTGTAGAGGTATCGCAGTGCTTGTGTTCAAGTGACCCTTATTTTACTTAGTGACCCCAAAGTGCTAGAGTAGTGATGCTGGCAATTTGGATCTGCCAAGGAGAAGCCATAAAGTGCCTTGCTAAAATGAAAAGGTGAAATTTCTCGACTTAATAAAGGCCAACAACAACAACAAAATGTATCCTGATGTTGCTAAAATCTACGGTAAGAACAAAT